AAAAGATAGCAAAGAAATGAAATATAATATTAAGTATCTTTGAATTAAAATAACAAAATAAGTGAATAATATAAAAAAAATTTCCGTTTTATAAAATATTTAAAATTCAAACCTAACTATTGTCTCATGAAATACTGTTTTTTATGATTGTCAATCATATTACAATTGTGTTTATTACCGTTATTTTTCGAATCTCTTATATTGTCGAACAATTTTTGTTATTCCAATTTTACAATATGTGATACAGACACAGTGAAATAGTCTCTTTTCTAAATGTGTTTTTATTCGAATGATTTTTAATTACCAAGATGTTAGTCAAAACAAACAAACGTTAGTAAAAAAATTAGGAGATACTTTATTGCAGGAATAAATGTACCAAAGTAATTGAAATAAAATTTCATGAATACGTATGTTGTCACATTGTTGAAAGGATAAAATATAGAAAAAATCATTTTTATATTTTCTGCACGCGTGATATTAATTGAAAGTTTCGCGCCTTTTTAATGATATATATATATAAATATATATATATATAGTGTAAATTATTATTGTTACCAAATAAAAAACCAATGCTAAATCAGTCCCACTATAAATTACCCAATTTTAAAATACATTATCGAGAATTCTTAATAAATTGTTTAATTATTATTAATCAAGTATATTTTTAATAAATATTATGTAATGAATCCGTCGATATAATTTTAAAAAGTTGCTGAAATTTTCATCTTCGAGAATATCGCATTATTCGATACACTACAGAGGAAGAATATCGAATTCAGTATCGATTCTATTCGTACATACACTGTGGATGACTTCGCCGTTTCGCTTAATGGTCAAACAGTGAACGTGAAATGGTAATACTTACAATCTTTGTTATTTCATTGCGAATCAATTAATTATATATTTTATTCAATTGTGCGCAACGAAATGTTAAAATTCTCGTCTGTATAAAATATATATTTTGTTCTCGTTTGACATTTTAGGTTAACTTTGTGTGTAGTATTAACTTTCTCGTGTTAAACTGCATGTTCTAATTTTTCAAGCAAAGTACTTTGTACATTCTCAGATATACTGAAATTTAATGTTTTTTTCTGTAATATTAATCAAAACAGGGGCAGAATCAATCTGGTACTGGTGGTACAGGGGGTGACAGGAAGGATGACAAGGACAAAAAGAAGAAGTATGAACCCCCAATTCCAACAAGGGTGGGCAAGAAAAAGCGACGTATAAAAGGACCCGATGCTGCTTTGAAATTGCCACAAGTTACTCCTCATACACGTTGCAGATTAAAGCTTTTGAAGCTAGAACGTATAAAAGATTATTTATTGATGGAAGAAGAATTTATCAGAAATCAAGAAAGACTGAAACCTCAAGAAGAAAAGAATGAAGAGGAAAGGTCTAAGGTCGATGACTTAAGGGGAACTCCAATGTCTGTTGGAACATTGGAAGAAATAATTGATGATAATCATGCCATAGTTTCAACATCTGTTGGTTCTGAACATTATGTATCAATTTTATCATTTGTGGATAAAGATCAGTTAGAACCTGGATGTTCCGTCTTATTAAATCATAAAGTTCATGCAGTTGTTGGAGTTTTGGGTGATGATACAGATCCTATGGTTACTGTAATGAAGTTAGAAAAGGCTCCACAAGAAACTTACGCTGATATTGGTGGTATGTATTAATAATATTATTAGAATTCAAAATAGACATATGAGCTCATTGCTTATATTTAAAATATCCTTACTCTTCTATAGTCTTTTAAATTTCTTACTTTCCACAATAGCATTATATACTTATATAAATGCTTAAAGGAAAAACCTATAATATGTTTTTGTATTCAGGGCTTGATACGCAAATTCAAGAAATCAAAGAGTCTGTTGAATTGCCATTGACTCATCCAGAATATTATGAAGAAATGGGTATTAAACCGCCTAAGGGAGTCATATTGTATGGACCTCCTGGAACTGGAAAAACATTATTAGCCAAAGCAGTAGCTAATCAGACATCAGCTACTTTCCTGAGAGTTGTTGGCTCTGAACTTATACAAAAGTATTTGGGTGATGGTCCAAAACTTGTGAGAGAATTGTTTAGAGTTGCAGAAGAGCATGCTCCTTCAATTGTATTCATAGATGAAATAGATGCTGTAGGCACAAAACGATATGATAGCAACAGTGGAGGAGAACGTGAAATACAGAGAACCATGTTAGAACTCTTGAATCAACTTGATGGTACATAGTAATTCTAATCTCATTGTATTTTATAAAAATGATATATTTTAAGTAATCATTAATATTTTTTATATTCGTTTAGGTTTCGATAGTAGAGGGGATGTTAAAGTTGTAATGGCAACAAACAGAATTGAGACCTTAGATCCAGCATTGATCAGACCAGGTCGTATCGACAGAAAGATAGAATTTCCGTTACCAGATGAAAAAACAAAAAGAAGAATCTTTAGCATTCACACCAGCAGAATGACTTTAGCACCTGATGTTAATTTGGCAGAATTGATTATGGCTAAAGATGATCTTTCAGGTGCAGATATAAAGGTAATGTTCTATCTGAACAGTATCTTGATAGAAAGGAACATATATAAGACAATAAAATTCAATTCTCATTTGCAGGCTATTTGTACTGAGGCTGGTTTAATGGCACTACGCGAACGCCGTATGAAAGTTACCAGTGACGATTTCAAAAAGTCTAAGGAAAGCGTTTTGTATCGGAAAAAAGAGGGTTCACCAGAAGGATTGTATTTATAAAAGTATTTCGATTAATATTCTTTACTTCCAATTCAATCATAAAGTGTTACAAATACTAATAAAAAAATATACAAAAGAATACAAATTGAGTAGTAATTTAATTATCATTGGATAGATTTGAAATATCATTTGGTATTTCTAATACATTTGACTCGTTAATATTTAATTTTTTCACATGTGGTTGGAAATATTGACATAATCTTTGGATTACTTCTGTAGAATGGTTTCTTTGTTCATCAATGACTTGTGAAAATGGTTTCTGTGTCTCATAGTTCACATTTTGAGATTCCATTAAACAGATGTTACATACTCCTCTTTTAGTTTTATTAAGTATTTCCTTTATATCTTGAGGATGCTCATTAACTTGTGGTACAGTATTTAATAAACTTTTAAATTTTCCTAAAATGAAGCCGTTTTTAAATCCTTCTTCGTATCCTTTATCAAAACCTTCTTGAAAGACAGAATCTGATCCATTTTCTAATCCTTCTCTATAACCGACCTTAAAAATTAATAAAATGTATGAAGTAAATCTATAATTTATATAATTATGTATAAATAATACCTTCTTAGCAGCATTTATAACCCTATTCCAATTTTTACCAGCAATGTCCAAAGATTCTTCAGTCTCGTACATATTTAAAAACTGATTCACAAATATAGTGTTTAATATCTATTTCAATTAGTAGTTGTTATTTAGAAATAATTTAAAAACACAATGATATAACCTAGCGACCATAATAAGTAATCAGATAGACATTAAAATTGTTTACGCTTAAACAGTTCAATGGAATCGGAACCAAGTACTTCGAACGAACAAGATGGAAATACTACAGAAACGAATTCAATGGATACGATTGAACAAAAGTAAATTTTTCTGTTTCTTTACTAAATTATACCTTACTATTTGTTCATATGACTTATAGGTTATGTACACTATTGTTTATACATAGAATAAACCAAATAAAAAATGACATAATTATTTTATTGCATAATATAATATAGTATAAAGTTTATATGTCAAGTTAACATGTTTTATTTAAAATTTCAGAATTATTGCATTGGCTCAAACTCGACCGAAAGGTATATCTGACAAGGATTTGACAGCTGAAATGCCAAACTTACAGCCTGCTCAAAGAGCTCAAATTATAAATAAACTTTTATCTCAGGGTCACTTTGATTTATTTAAACAAGGTGGTTCCTTATTATATCGTTTAAAAGATCCTTCCAAAGCAAAAGTAGCTAAAGGTGCAGACAACGAAGAAAAAATTGTATATACCATAATCGAAGAAGCAGGAAACAAGGGGATATGGATTCGAGATATAAGATTTAAGTCTAATTTAATGCCAACTCAATTAAACAAAATCCTAAAAAGTCTGGAAACTAAAAAGTTTATTAAAGCTGTTAAGTCTGTGGCAGCAAGTAAGAAGAAAGTATACATGTTGTATAATTTGGAACCAGACACATCTGTAACTGGTGGTGCTTGGTATCAGGACCAAGACTTCGAAGCAGAATTTGTTGATGTTCTTAATCAACAATGTTATAGATTTTTAGAAAAAAAACGAGAACAAATAAGTTCTTGCAGAGGTGGACCAATTGCAGCTAGAAATATCACATTTGCTTCATCCAAAGAAGTATGGAAGTTCATTTCTGATTTAGGAATTAGCAAGGTTTGAATGCTACAATGGTTGTCTACCAATGTATATGTGATTATAGGTAAAAGACAATTATTTATAGGTAAAATTATCAGTTGAAGATTTGGAAATGATATTGAACACATTGGTTTATGATGGGAAAGTTGAACGTATTCTTTCAGAAGATGGAAGTAATTTGTATAGGGCAGTAGAACCTTTATTACATGCACCCGGATTAATTAAATCTACTTGTGGTGTCTGTCCTGTAAGTACTTAAGAGCTTCAAATATAATTTTAATTATAAGATTACTTGTTTAATTCTACAATAAAAATATTTACATGCAGGTAAGAAAAAACTGTTGTGACATAGGCGACATTACACCTACAAAATGCCAGTACATAACACAATGGTTGGAATAATTTCTTTGAATAAAAATGTATTTTAAATAATAATTTATTCGTCTCCGAATCTACACTTTCTATTACTTAAATATAAAATGTTCAGTAATTAAATCGACAAACGTCAAAAATATTATTAAAAGTAAAGAATATTACACAGACAGTGGCTTGATTAACATTCTTTCATATTCTTGGGACGTATAATATTGATCAAAATAAGTAATAAACAATCAGACGTATTTCATTGATTCAATATCCATGTAATAAAAAAATTACATTATACAGACTTCGGGTAATTATATAAGACCCGAATTAAAATTTTCAAAAATAAGGTCAAACAGATTTCCACGATCATCCGTTCCCGCCAAATTTACCTACGTTACATGTAATCCGGATACCAGCTACCAACGGCAAAAAAAAGTATCGCATTTATTCCTCCATGATTTTTTCACGAGAACGTACCGTATCGTTAATATTTTCGCAATATACGAGAACAGAAAAACCTGTAAACATTTAAAGAACGCGAAACATTTAACCTATCGATAAAAAAAAGAGCGTACCGACGTTGTCTCGGTTTCCCGCGTTTTGAATCGCAATTCAATTAAGTTGGCAGCGTTCACTTTTTATTGGTTTCCGGCTTCGAAGTGCCAGATGTGAATGTGCGCTTCCACGAGCACCGTTAAATTGTGCTTTTGTGTAGAACTCAAGAGATGTTACGCGAATTATTTTCAAGATTTCACGTTCGCAACGTGTGAACGAGTCGAGTCGCGGGAATTCGCCGCGTTCGTCGATCGATCGTGACGCGGGGTTTCCACGGTGGTCGGTGATCCTTCAAGTTTACGGCTGTAAATTGGTCGCGTGCGTTGCATGTGCCTGCGGTGTCCCGGAAAAAAGCGTAGTATACCGTCTTCGACGACGTAGAATTGATTTCCCTGAGCGGTTCGGCACCGCGCGAAGATCTTGGTTTGGTCATTGACGGGATAGAGAACGTTGACATGCCGTTGCTCCGTAAACAGCCGTTTCAACGACTTCACGTCTCGTCGGATTTCAAAGACGACGATGAGGTGTTCCATTGCGAGGTTACCAACGAAATCTTCAAGGACTACAAGTAAGACCATGACAGTCAAGACCGTTCCGAGACGTGTCCCTTAATCCGGTCGACGCGACACATTAAACGCGATTGTTTCGTTTTCTTTCGGCCTCGTTTTATTCGGTATTAGTTGTGCTACCGAAAAAATGCATAAACGTGTCATAGTCGTTGTTTTCGTTCTCGTGTATTTTGTTGCAATTTTCAGCAAACCGTTGAGACGCAGTTTGTCACTTACAACGCGACTGAATATTTGTATACGTTGCCATTGTTTAAACGTAGATCGACCGTTCGAATGTACACGTGTTGTGCTGACAGTCCGTTTTGGTTTTTGAATGTTTGATAATTGACGTTTGTTGTTCAAGTATTTTTGTATTTTGAAAATTTCATTTTTTTCCTCCGCTTCTCGGTAATATTATTATTCTCTTTCCTGTTTTATGATTGCAGTGAGTTCTGCGAGAGAATTATTTTGTGCAATTCACTTATATGGTCATGTAGCATTACTGGGAGAAGTAACATGACATTCGAAGAGGCGTTACAATGTGAGGAGAACGCGAAGAAAAGTCTTAAAGAATTTCCTATGGAGGTAATGTGTATTATCAGAAATGGACTTTCATGTATTTTTAGCATAGAGCGTATAATGTGTATTTTATATTGCAGTTACGCATTCCTATATTATATCTTGCCAGTAAAACGAACAGATCTTCTTTCAATGAGATGATAGAGGATGTGTATCAGTTTGCAAGGGATCGTTATTTTGTTGGGGAAATGGTAGAAGCAAGTTTCACAGAGGATTCCTGGTGTGAATGTCATGTACTCCAAGTTATTGCGCCTTTAGAGCAGCAAATAAAAGCATATATAAAAGAAAATAGGTATTAATATATTTAGTTTGTTTGTAATGTTTTTCACCGGTTCACAATATTAGTAGATTTGTGTGTTCAGTAATTGTCAGTATATTGAAATATTAGTGATTTGTCTTTAATAACATGAATTATCAGACAGAGTTGTATATATAATATGTATTGAAATAGAATTCTAATATAATGCTCACTTCTGTCAGAAGTCCACAAGAACAACAGTATCATCCACCAGCGAAATTGTTTCGTTATGAAGTGGAACAATTAGACTGTGGTGATTCTGATGTCAGTCAACTAATGATTGTAGAAGCAGCTCAAGTAAGAAGGAGAAAGCAACATTATAGCAGAGAACGTAACAAAATATTTCTACGCCAATTGTGCGAGCAGAATGATAGCGGCATATGGATTGTTAAAGTTAGTAAGTTTGTTGTTATTGTATAAATTATTTACATAATTTATTAATAAAATGTTTGTTATGTAATTTCAGGATAGTGTTTTACAAAAGTATGGAATTAATAAAGTACGTTTCGATACCATATTTGCTGGCCCTCCTCCTGATTTCACGTCGCGCATTAAAAAACCTATAAAGCATAAACAAGAATCGATAGAAAAATTTCTTACCGCGGACATTTCGAAACAAAAAACAATGGAGAAGCCAGATCCTCTAAAAAAAGTAAATCAGACAGGGGTAGACATAAAAAAATTTAGAAAACCAAGGTAAATAATCTAGTTGTATTAAAAGTATAAACTTCTATCAGTATGTTAATGCTATAATTTATCTAGAATGAATGGAAAATTCAAAGAGGAGCTTAAAGCGAAAGCTCTTGAAGAAAAAGCAAAACGCAAAGAGGAGAGAATATTAAAGAGTGAACAGAAAAGGGAAGAGAAGCAGAAACTAGCCGCTTTAGCTGCATATGTGAGACAGTGGAACAAACCCAGAGAAGACCTTGAATGCGAAGATCTTTCTCCAATTCCACAACCTGTACCAGTTAATACTGTGATACCAAATGACAAGTTTGGTGACTGTTGCATGATTTTAGAGTTTCTAGAGTTTTTTAATGAAGAATTGGAAGTTTCTTCATATTTTTCAAATGGATTTACTTTGGATCTATTGGAAAAAGCATTGTTAACTAAGGAAGCATCTGGACCTTGGAGTGATCTCTTACAATTGCTACTATCAAGCATCTTCAAGTATCAATCAGATGAGGAAGATGAAATTCAAGCATCCGATACAGTAACAAACGATACTACTACCAATGAGGGAGTGTCATCAATAACAAAAACAGTGAAACTTACTACAGTTACCTCTACTTGGAGTCCAACGTATCACGGTTCTAAATTATCAGAGCTAACATTGGATCATTCGACTTTGAGCGAGATCTTGAGGCAACATTTATTAAGTTCCGGTGAACGAATTGGCGAAGCTGCTTCTAAATGGAGATATTCTCAAAGAGGTTGGCTTTAAAACGTGATTAACAAATTGAAATGTTACAAACGTTATATAATATAATGGTTTCTCTTCTAGGTGGATACACGAATCAAGACGATCCTGCAGTTCTGATGAGAAAGAAGGAGGCGCATATTTTGAGACTGTTAACCCATCGTAGCGTTCACGAGCTTGACTTCGACGATAAATTGAAAGTAGCCGCATGCCTCATCAATCAGTTACTCACTTTCGCCTCAGTACGAGATATGATTGAAGAGAGACACGAGAAGCTTCATCAAGCAAAAAAAGAACTGAGATCTTTTATACTAGCGGAGCAGAAAAAGGAGAGGGAGGAGAAAGAAAAAATGCGAGAGCGCGATAAGGATAATAAAGACATGAAAAGTGCACCGAAAAAAGTAACACGTGGTAATTGCGACGAGGAGAAGAAAAAGAAGCTGAAAGAACTTCAGGAAGCATCCAAAGATGACCAAATGATGCTCTACTTGGGTTCCGATAGAGCTTACCGTAGGTACTGGAGACTCTTGTCGGTACCAGGTAATTACATATTTCTTAACTTATTGTCAAAATTGAACAATTACATTGGATAAGTTATTTTTTTTTCTGTTCAGGAATATTCGTGGAGAATGATGGATCTGGAGTAGGTACCTGTCTCCCCGAGGGTACACCTTATCAACCTGAATTGCAAGACGGAGAATCTACATATGCATATTTAAGGAACAAGTTTGAAGATGAATTCAGTGATAAGGAAAATAGCTTTAAAAAGACGAAGAAATCTCCTAAGAAGGTTTCGTTTTCCGATAAAAACGGACTTAAATCTCCGAGGAAAGATGTGATTCCTAGGAATGAATTTAAGCAAGAACTTTCCGATGTGAGGAGGAATTTAATGGCTTGTACAGGGGATAAAGAATGCCCGGTGCATTGGAAAAGACCAGAACCAAAATGGAGTTTCTTCGGAACGCAAAAGGACATTGAAACTCTGGTGAACGGTTTGAGTAAACGAGGAATTAGGGAAGGTGAACTTAGAAATAATATTATCCAAGAAATGACAAGTGTGATGTCTGTTATCGAAGAATGCCCGAGGCATAAACTCAACCCTGACGTAGTGAGTATTTTATGACGCGCTTAGAATTTGAATACGCTTGTAGTGTTTCTTAAAGCACAGTTCAACGTTATGAACAAACTTTGGATACAGTTTTCAGATCCGATCAAGGAACATCCTAATAAAACGACAAAGAAAAACAAATATGAGAACGCTAATTTAAACTATCCTTCTGAGGTGCCTGTCGGAGATGTTTTTGAGTTCACTTTGAGAGACTTTATCTTAGACCTCGAAGATAAAATAAAAGCCGGTTGTTTGGGAAGTTTGAAAGTGAACAATCGCGATACGTGGAGGCATACAATTGATAGTAGATCCTACGGTAAACAATGTGATAAATTAGCGTACGGTACAAATGAAATAAATACAGATAGTCCCAACGGGTCACAGGATAAAGTTAAAAACGAGACTAAACATACTAGGTCGGATACTCCAAATTCCGAGATAGAAGGCCTTACTGTAAAGACTTACAAACACTCAGAGAAATCGTTAAGTACACTAAATGAAACTGACTTACTCCCTGACCCTAAGCAACAAGAAACCATTAAACAGTTGGCTTGCGCTATTTTGCAATTATCTCAAGCCATTGAACAGAAGTACTTAGTTAAACCGCGAGGCGTTAATGAGAAAGATAGAAAACACTTCACCGAAGAGAACAGAGAAAGATGGGAGCAATCACTTCTTGCGTCTACAAGCTGGTCACAGTTGTTCTTGCATTTAACCATTTTAGAAAATAACATTGCTTGGGATAAGAGCGCACTAAATGCTCAATGTTACATATGCAGACGACGTCGAGACGCTGAGAAGATGTTACTCTGCGATGGTTGTAACAAAGGTCACCATTTGTATTGTTTGAAACCAAAACTCACTGTAATTATCCTGTTTCTTATCCTTAAATGCGCGGTCCTTTAGATGCACCGATTAACATTGCGTATGCTCGTAGGCTGTACCAGATGGAGATTGGTATTGCAAAACATGTAAGCCACCGGTTAAGTCAAAATCGAAACTTAAGAAACGAAAAAAATTCGAGGACGAATTAGAAGAAGAAGTAACATTGACCAAAGAAACTCGACACAATCGAGCGAGACGTGTTCTCGAAAGTGAAGAGGAAGAGGACCGTGAAGACGATGAATTGGAAGATGAGAACTTTGAGACCATGTAAGAATTTTTTTTTTACGTGTACAGCGAATTGTTAATGTCAATCACGATAATGATAATATTTCAGGAGTAGTCAAATGAACGTGTGCACTGCCTGTAGAAGCGGTGGAAAGTTAATCAATTGTGATTTATGTTCGAACTGTTATCACATAGAGTGTATAGATCCCCCTATAATAAGAGCACCACGTGGAAGATGGATTTGTTCAGATTGCAAGGACAGGAAAGATAGACGGACCAATATAAAAAACGGTAAATAAATAGAAATGGTAATAAAAACACAATGATAGCAGAAACACTGTAGTAAGTCTCGAGAAATCTTTATGTACCACGTAGTATACTATTAATGTTAATTGTTAATATAATAAATCAGTTTCTTAGTTTTAATTGTGTTCTTAGTGAGGGGGCGCGAAAGGGAAAGGGACAAGGAGAGACTGTGCGCTGCAGCAGCACGCTCTCGCATCCATGGCTTTGCCAAGAGCCTCCTCACTACAGAATCGACAGACTGGGACGGTCTGTATCGAGATTCTATTCTACTTTCTTTTGGTATTCACATTTTTTTGTCTAGAAATTCACTAATGTTAGGAGCACTGTGTAGTTCTACACATTCATTCGTTATTTGCTAATGCAATGTACAGCGAATGACAAATAAGTAAGGCTTCGTTGCATGTCTTGGTTAGAAATCGTTGTTTTGCTACCAAAGTAAAGTAGCGAAGAAATTTACTTGGTTTATCTTTTCTATCGGACAGTGCAAGAAAATGTAAAATTCCTTTTAGAATAATTTTCGGGGTTAGAGTATGTATGTTTATGCAACAGAAATGTATTCATTTGCATTAAAGGTTTTGTCGAACGAACGATATCTATTGCCCTGTTGCAATATTGCAGATATACAAAAGCCAGATGATAAAAGAAATTTGTATTCTTTGTCGTAAATCGATTAACACATTTTTCGTACACTTGTGGTAATGCTTTGCCTGTACCATTAATTGTGTTCAAATTGTGTTTAGGTAAGAAACTTATGGTTTAACTGTAATCAATTTAACATGCAGACAGCAGCAATTCAGAAGATACTGAACCGAGACAGACTAGACGGGCTGCGAAGAGGGCTGCTGAAATAGAACAAGTAGAGGACAAGGGAACAATTAGAGGATCTATGACACGATTGCAGGATTTACTTACCGACATTAGACACCACAGAGATTCATGGCCTTTCCTGTCACCCGTTACAAAAGACGAAGTACCAGATTATCATGATATTATTTCTAATCCAATGGATTTCGGTACAATCAAATGTAAACTAAATAATGGGGAATATGAAACATTGGAACACTTCTTTAGCGATTGTCAATTAGTCTTCGATAATTGTCAAGCTTATAATGAAGAACACAGTGCAGTATACAAGTAAGTATGAATAATATAATGACTACCTGTATATAGTTCGGATGCCAGAGATTGCGAGATAAGCTTGCAACATTGAAATACTAGATTCGTACTGTTTCTCCCAACCATTAAAATCCTATTACGTAACATGGAAATTCAATAAATTCAATAATGACTTAAAATATAGAATATACAAAAATTCCAGACATTTTAAAATAAAAACAAGTGCTTTATAAATATATATATAACTGTTTAAATGTATCATTTTAATGTCTCTATTGACTTTTTAACTTAGAACCTTTTCTTGAAATTTAATATTTAATACACGACTTGGGTAATTGTGAAACTGAAAAAAATGAAATCAATGAACGAAATTCTTGTAACGAAAATGTTGGTCAGCAGTCGCGAAAGTATAATCAAAATCTTTGGCCTCCGAACATTCAAAATAATATAACGTTTAAGAGTTCGACTATGTCATTTTAAAATCAGTTACGTATACAGAGCAGGTATGAGGCTGTTGAAGTACTTCGAGAAACGGTGCAAGGAGCTCAGTTTGAATTACGAAGAAGAAACGGCGGTACGGCCACCGGACGCGAAAAAGCCGAGAATGATGGGAATCGATGTCGATAGCAGCGAGGAGGAAGACGAAGAAGATGAAGAAGAAGAAGAAGAAGAACTTCAAAAGACAAGATAGAGTCGGAGCATATATTCCAATGTTATATACTTATTGGGTATTAATTTTTTTTATTCCCGATACGTAAATTGGATGTACCTTGAGATTGCGTGCGGGTTTTTACACTAATGTCGAGAACAGTGTACAAATTCGTGTTACAAATACGAAAGTTGTTCTGTAAATTATATATTACTGAAAAGACTTCATTTCCTAAGGATTAGAAAAATGCTATAGATATATGTATAATTGCAAGCTTCACATATGCGTTTAAAGTCTCTCTTCTTTCTTTTCTTTCTCTCTCTATCTCTCTATCTCTCTGTCTGTCTCTATCTCTCTATCTCTCTATCTCTCTGACTGTCTCTATCTCTCTATCTCTCTGCTTCTCTAAATTTCTCTAAAATCTTTCTATCTCTATTTCTAGAACATTATTTATCGAATATGCTCTGAATTATTTTCTTAGGCTTGCTAAAATAAAATCAGGAAAAAACATGCACAGTATTATTCGTAGAATTTTACTCATGGTGTAATTACTCTTGCGTACTTGTAAGAGTCTTTAAGCATAGAGCATTTTATATAGAGTGAGCGAGCAAGCATGCGGAGGCGGTGAATTCTTATCCGCTCGAGCCAGTACAAGATACGAGTCCTCTTTTTTTTTATTTTGAATTAGTATTATTACAGAGAAAACAATTTTTTGTTATACCAGACAAGTCTTTTTACACTATAATAATTATTTATTATTTTAGCACTACTTATATGATTGTATCTTATGTTCTTTTTTGAAATGTTTCAATGATTCTCCTAAATGTAGTCCCAGAATTTCAACACATTTTACGCATACGTAGTCCACACATTTACAAAATGTGTTATATTCATTGCCTTCCTTTTAGATAGTGTATTTAAAACATACCACGTGCGATAACGTGATCTGTGACTGCCTTTTTTTATTATGAAAAGTCATATATATTTCAAATGAATCCAAAATGATACAACACTTTTGGTACATTTACTCTGATATTTATTCAAAACAAAGGTAAATTTTACTTGAAATTCAAATGCGTCACAATATTGCACCATATATATTGGTAATAGGAAATTTTATTTATATAATTCGTGTGTTTGACGTTGCCAAATTGTTAAATGTGTTAAGTGGTACTTATACCTTTTTTCTTTTTCTTTTTTTAATTTTGTTCTAAACCGTCAGCCTATTTTAAGAAAGTTTAAAGGTTTAGGCTGGCCCTACAAAAAATCTACGGTACAAATTATTATTATCTTATATATTGTACAGCAGTTGTAGCTACAGTTCTTTGTAATCATGTACGTTTTATACGATTAATTTGGTAATAAATTTTTAAAATAGATTTATAATTGAAACTTGTTCATAACATAATGCTTTAAAAAATATGTAAAAAATATTGGAAAATATTACTAATTTTAATGTTATTTTGTAGAGGTTACATGTATTTTATTCATACACTCTTCTTACATGTCATACTAACAAACTTTCAGGTATTACTTAATGATGCATCACCTTCCCTGAAAATTGTTCCCTTCTGACTTCTTCCCATTTCTTTACATTTTCAGGAGAATAACCTTAAGTAATAAAGGGTAAATTACAATATTATCTCTATAATGATAAAAATACTTTTAAATGCTGTTACAATTAAATACTTACTGAGTTTTTGTATTTTATAGAATATGGGCAAAGTCATAAGAATACCAAGTGGGAAAAATCTAAATAACCAAGTATTTTTATGAGTTAAATACAATTTATATGGAAACTGGGCAATCTTTGCTGATAATGTGTATGGATATATCATACGCCGTGGAACTTCATCTGCAGACATGTCTGAAAACAATTTCATATTTATTTTTATTATTAAATCTCTTCAAATTCAATTCCAATTTGGAATTAATATTAAATTTTCAAAATTGATTTTTGTGAATACGTAACGAAATAACAATTATCCTCCTTTTTATTATACATATAAAAATATTTAGTATATTCATTACTTGTAACACTTTTTAACATTTTTACCTGTATGAAATATTAAAATACCTTTTTATTTATGATAAATATATCTGCATTTCATTACAAATTAGTATGGTCTAAATAATTAGATACGTAAATATATTACTGATACGTCTACGTTAGTGTCATTACGTTTCATTACATTTTTATGAAATTTCTATTAAATAATTCAATTGTAATAAAATAATTCGTGTCTACACTAAACGGTTCTTAAACGCTTAAAACCTAAGAAGAAAATTTGCTACGATACCTGGTTATGTCTTAGACAAGACAGAATTAAAAATCGTACTCGCAAACTCTGCGATGTGCACGCTCAGCAGCCATAGAACAGTATTACATAATTGGCATTTTACTAAACATATCGAAAGATACCGAATCGAAAATTCTTGTCGATTGTGGTTCGAGATGTAACAATTCTATTGGTTCAAATTTGGATGAATTTCAAGAAAACGTAACGTTGAGAATTGTATAGTACAGTTTTTGGAAAAAATATATATTCTTCGGATAATTACTGCAAATTAGAAATAAGTACATTTAATTTCTTATCGTGACAATAAAAATACTGTTTTGGTATTAAATGATTATATTCATCATGTATTTGTATTTTATGAATATTTTTCATAATATTATGCTCAGAGTGATATAATTTTTGCATTACCATTAAAATCAGTGTAAAAGTTCCAGCAGTTTATTAATAAAATATACCACGTGTATGGTACATTGAGTTCGCCTTAAAATACTTTGTGTTATAGATGGGAATCTCACTTTTTATCGCATCCTACGGATAACAAGAATTAAGTATACATTAAAACAATATATATTGTATTCAATCGTGAATTATTAGATTATGTTTAAAGGTGTACAGTTATCCATTCACTTCGCGTTGATAAAAAAAAATTAAAAATTTCAATGTCAACATGATGTCGAGATATCGGTAGTAAAAGACAAAAAAATATCAGATACTACCTTGTGAAAGTGTCAGTTTATGCTACGCAAAGATACCTGCGAGGTATTCGTATAGAACTATATGGATAACAAGATCCTGAACGAACGTGATAAATACAAGAATTGAATTGAAATCAATTAAGTGCAAATCTGGAAGTGTGCCTGCAGTAACCATGAATACTATACAGGTTGCGCATTTTCTTATTTAATTTTGAATTTCAATTAATAAATAAAAATTAATAAAATGTAATTTACGCGGTAAGTAGTTGACAGTGATGTTAGCAATATGTTAAGCATGATGTCAAAGCATGATGTCAATATGTTAACAAATTCCTATCATTTATGAATTTATGATGGTCTTGTTTCATCAATTTTATGATTCATATGTTAGCATTTTAACTGACATTGAACATACTTTCCAGGGTCCAAATATTGGAGATGCGGAAACTGAATTGTTTAATGCAAATATATTGGAGCGATTATCACTTTCTCAGATTGAAGGCTTTTTAATTAGACCATTGAAATCTGGAGATTATGATAGGGGTAAATGGATTGTAAAAGAATTTTTTAATAAGAATATTTGTTCAAGATCATTAACATTATTCTATTCGTTTAACAGGTTTTCTTCAGCTCTTAACTCAATTGACGGAAGTTGGAAATATTAGTAGAGAACAATTTCTAAGTAAGTTGATTAAAATTTAATTTTACTAACAAGCAATACTATTATGGAAAAGTGTGTGACATTGTTGTTTATACATATAGAATGTTTTCATATGATGAAGAGCACTGGTAGCTATTACATAGTTGTAATAGAAGATGTGAACACTAAAAAAGTAATAGTAAGCGCAACGTTAGTTACAGAACAAAAATTTATTCATAACTGTGCTATGGTATGTATCCTATCTTTTTTCATTTTTCTTGTTTCAATAATACTTATATAACTAAGATAGTACATCTCTTACAGAGGGGACGTTTAGAAGATGTGGTAGTAAATAACAAATATCGGGGTAAGCATCTAGGAAAATTAATAGTGAAAATAATATGGCAGTTAGCAAATTATTTGCGTTGTTACAAATTGTCATTAGAGTGTAAAGATCATTTGATACCATTCTATGAAAGTATAGGTTTTAAACGTGAGCCTAGCAATGCTAATTACCTCAATATGAGACTTCCTAATGACAGTACTACAGAGCAATCTCACTTATGACGATAAACATTGAAATACGATTTACAAAAAATTGTTGTTCACAGAAGAAAACAATAAAATCTTTTTACCATTTTCATAAAACCATGAAATTCGTTTTAAACTTTATTTTGATCAGTCTGAATAAATGTTTATATTCTTTTATACAAGAATTATGAATGAAACAAATTGTAAAAATAATATGTAATTATATTTTATTGAATAGATGTATAATATTTTTTAAGAACATATAATAAACAATGTTGCAAATAATTCAGAATCGACCTTTTCGACAGTAAAATCATAGCATTAACAGAAAAGAAATTTCTGTCACGTCTAATTCGTATTTAAAATTGTGTTGTGTATACCTGAATGCAATTAAAAAATGATGGAATTTCAATTAAATTTTTTTTGCGGTGACGTTACTTCTTAATTTCACTGCTCTCTTTGCTTCCATTTGCCTTTGCCTGGCTAATTTGCGTTCTTCTCGTTTCCTTCTAGCTTCCTCTAATTTATTATTTCCACTAAGTGTATTGGTACTTTCGGTATTTCCTTATAATAAAAAAAACCAGTTACATGTAAATAATTATGTGTATGTTGTATAAATGAAAGTATACTTTATTGATACAATTATACCTGGTTCCAATGGTTGAAAATCTTCCAAAGGTTGAAACTCCGAGTCCTCCCAAACTACCTCGGAAGATTCATTTTTGTCTTGTACAGTTTGTGCCGCTTCTTCTTCCTAAAAATAACATTGAAATTTTATTTCTTCTCGGAGGTGAAAGGAATGCATATTTAATCTATCAAAAAAACAAACCGGTTCTTCCTCTAAATTTGTCCACTGATCATTGGCCTTCGGAGAATGTGACGATGGTGAAATGTTAAGCGTTCCAAGTGTAGAAGTGGTGGAAGATTGTTGCTCCATGTCACCCCAGTTGTCAGCGTCCCAACAGTCCCAATCACAATCGGAATTGGTATTTGCAGCGTTTTGTAAATCGTGTTCATGATCGTGATCTAACGATGTCATACTTGTAGCACTACTTGTCGTTGCTGTTGTGCTAGCGCTACTTTGAGAACTGCTGGCTTGTTCTGCAATTCAATTGCACATTAACGATAATGTACAATGACTGCGTGCGATATACAATTATGAATCATAGATACCCAGAGATGCTGGTTTATTTAATAAAATTCTTGATCCGCCATGAGGATTTGATGATTTCGGTGTGTCCGATTGACTGCGATAAAATTTGGCTGTTACTGCCGTTACAGCCCATCCTGCCCATGTAGCTGCTGCATTACTAAGACTAGGTGTTGCTGTATTTACATCTGCCTCTAAAATCAAATTGTTTAGATTTAATGAGGTGTTAACAATTGCCTCGTAATACTTCCTATTTGTGTAACAATTTTAGTTTTAATGTAAGTACCCATAGATTCCCGTAACCCAGGATCTTCTGATACCCTTTCAAGCTTCGATAGAAATCCTCGAATGGTTCTAAATGCATTGTCCCTCACTCCTTTGTCTACATCCGTGGTGAGTGGACACAAAGCTGGTAAAATCCGATTCGCTACTTCTTGCAGTAAAAAGTATTGTTGCGTCGCAGCCAATGCTAAAATACCCGCAGTCCTAGCTGGTGGAAATGTGTCTCTTGTACCTCTTATAAATGCTCCAATCAATACCTATAATTGTATGATAATTAGACTTTAGTCTGCGATAACTTGATCAAAGAATTTCATATTTAGATTTCAAATACTTTTTGTCTAATCTGAGGATGAAGATGTTGAGCAATTTTCCCTAAACAGACTGTCGTATTAGTGCGTATACCACCATGTTCATCCTTGGATTGAAGTTTAGCAAAATATCTTAACGTTTCCACGTTAAGATTATTATAGTCTAATTTTGGTGCTAAATGTACAACAGACTTTATTGTTTGTTCCCTAATCGCAGGATTTGTATCTAGAAATCCTCTGGCTACCTGCAATTAATATTGAAATATATATCAAGTATTTTGTATTGTTCGATAATAACGAGAAAAAATAGTGACCTGTGGAAATATAGCTTCATTAACTGTTGCTGGTTGTAAATGGTCGACAAATCTGTCCAACTGCTGCAATAATCTCAATCTGGTTGCCCTATCGTTTGATGCAAATAATTTTATTACACACGGTACAACTCTTTTCTGATATTCAGCATCAGGTAATTGGCAACCTAGTTGCAAAAGAGGTGGTAATACCGCGCTTCCAGCATCACCAAACTCGAAGGCTGCCAATAATTGAGGCAGAATTTTGTATCTGCCAACACCGTCTGGAAATGATTCTAACTGACCAGCAAGTTGAGAGAAAAATCGACCCTTTTCTCCCCTTTCTTTCATTTGAATTTCTTCTAAGAACAGAAGTGCGTCTACGAGATTATTCTTAAAAAATCCCCCGTTACTACGACAACGCGCTATCACATCAGCAGGGTTTGGTCTTCCTTCTGCATTGCCGCTTGTCAATTCCCGGTATACTACTTGCAACTGTTTCGGAATCTAAAATAGAAATTCATATTTGTAAATCGACAGTTTGAAATCGTGAATTTTAGTTTAGTTTCTTACTTTGTCCGTGTTTTTAAGTTGTGTACTTGTATTTAGCGAACCATTATATGTCTCCCAGATCAGGCATCCAAGTCCCCACATGTCAACCGAGCTGTTTTTTTATTTATTCATCAGTTTCATAGCGTTAACAATAAACCTAAATGTTTACATATAGAAAAGCTAGTATTGTAATGTAAATTTTGATCAGGAGACAACTAATTTTTATTATTTACCAAACAAGAGAATTTACATTGTCAATACTTTACATTTGAAATAAGTGGTATAGCTACAAATAAAAATAATTTAGTTTTATGGAAAGTTGTCGCTTTTTCCAAATTCAAACCTTTACCATTTAGTAGCTGGCTTTACATTTTCTTTAGCATCTGGAGGATAGTATGCTTGGAATGTTGATGGTAAAGTAATATAAACAGCATCTACAGTTGTCATATATTCAACTCCTCCCAGTTTCCATTCTCCACTTTCCTCATTTACAAAAACTGTCCATAAATTGACATTGTTATGTCTTAGATTACCATCATTATTTAAGAAGTTCAATGCTCTCTGTCAACGTTACAAATTAAAATTTGTATTTTATGACATCAGGAATTGTTTTACTTTGATACATACTGTAATTTGAAATATTCCCCAAGAAAAATACAATTCTTTTTTTGACTCTTCATCGTTCTCCGATTTTCTGGTTAAGCGGTTATACAGAGGCTCTACACGTTCAGTTGCTAAATAAATCATTTTGTCAGTCTAAAACAATAAAAAATATCTGAAACATCTATTTCTTAAAGATATTACAAATACAACTATTGGACAAATTTCACATTCATTTAATATAATATTTCATAACATTATATTTATACCTCAAGACTATCAAGATATGCAAGTATACTAGGATGCCTAAGAGTCTTTAATCTTTTCACTGCTGAGCGTGCCAAATCTAAAAAATATTCATTACCACTTTTAGACTCAAAGACAAACACGGAAACATCTTCGCCTCCTCCAGAACCCTGTATAAAAATATTTTATATTACATATATACATATTTTTTCAATAGAACAAGAAAAAATATAATAATCAGACAACGGAGGTTCTGGCGAACTTCGACGTTCATAGATTTATCACAATTAAACTAGTACTAAAAAAACATTCATTCTGTTCTATTAAATGAAATATAAATTACAAAATTACGCTCGTTTATTAAACTTTTTTCTATTATCTTTCACATGCTTGAAAGTTCCATAAATACACAAAGTTTGCGATTTAATAATAATTTAAGATTGTACCGCGTCAGGTTATGGTACCTTTTTTTTGGCTCTGTGCAACGTCCAAATGTTTTTATCATCTAAACCCGGAACTGGTTCTCCAATTTCATATGGAAAGTCTTTGGTGGGATCTCTCGAGAAAAATGACCACATTTTGGCGGTTTAACTATTTGTTAAAGTATAAATCAGCTCATCCTTCGACTAATACCACATTGTGATGTCATTGACAGCTACGCATCAACATGTCTTCAACTAAGTTGCTACTTCGCGACGATACGTTCTCATGTTGAGTGTGTATCGACGTTGCGTCAATTAACTTAAAATTTCAATACGTGTGCTGATTAATTTATTTTATTCTATTTCTATGCCATAGAATTCTTTTGATAGTTTTCTTTCATGTTCATTCATGTTTAGTGCTCATTGTCGCATTAATGCTCGTCTTTCAGTATGAACGAAGTTGGCCCATCGTTAGTGACAACTTACAAGTTCAAAAATGGCAACGAGTATATTGTCAAGATAAAAGTTATTGCTTTTAAAGGGTGCCAGCGAAATTTGGAACTGACTGTTACTGATAAATATACCGGCGAAAATTGGCAGTCCTCCTATGACGCTGCATGTTCGTTATTTAAATCTTATGGCTTATACCGAGCGCTTATTGTTTTAAGGTTATGATCTTTCTTCGCGTTTTAAGATATCGAAAAGTTGACGCACAAAACTGGGAATTATAAGCATTTTGATGTATTCCTTGCTATGTTGCAGTCAGGATTGTTAAAAGTAAAATTTATAACCTAGGAATTTAAGCAAGGTAAATAAAATTTTAAAAAAGTTAATTGCAGACTAGTGAATGTATTACCTTGGATCTCCTAACATTTGAAGATCTAGAATTCTTGCGTACACGTAAACTTGAACGTACCTCGAGTTCAAATTTGGGTAATGTGACAAACAATCGTCGGTATCTTATTTTAACTTACACAGTAGAGTTCGATCGGTATGTATTAGTTTTACAGATTTTGTGAAACCTTTACACAGTGACTGTTATATATGTTTTTTTCTGCATAATACATAAATACTTTAAGTGCAAAAAATTTAAATAGAATTTTTATAAATGAAAAAAGAAATGTATGTTAACGTAATAACTTTCTTAAGAATTCATTATCCATTACCTTTGGAATACTGTGGTTTACCTGATCCAATAATATTGCAAACTACCATCAGAAGATTACAAGCTGAAATCGAAAAGTTACAATCTGTGGAAATGCATAAAAATTTCCAGAAACGTATAGAACAACTTACAACTGCAAATCAAAAACTTATTCAAGAAAATCAAAGACTTTCAACTGGAGGTAATTTCAAATGTATTAATTTTTTGTAAATGAATCTTAAGTACATATTAACATTTAGGAAAAGGTTTAAGACACATATTAGGAGCTATCAAGTCCTTAGAGAATAGTGTTACAAAAGAACGTATATCTTTTCGGACACAAATTCAAAAACTTAAGGCTGAAAATGCAGCCCTATTATTAAAAGTACAACAACTAACTGCATCTGCCAGTAGAAAACCTGGAGATGGTAGTTCTGCATTAAAACATAATAATCATTCTTCTATACGAACAAATGATGCAAATTGTAGACAAAGCAGAAGTCGTTCTTCTTCCATTTCTAGTCACATTAAAACTTATAGGTCTAGTTTATCACCAGGTATTGATAAACACAAGAATATTTTCCTTAACAGAAACAAAATTTAGTTTTGATTATAACATATTAATATGTATAGGCAGTTCGGTGGAATCATTTAGAATTCATAACTCTTCTTCTCGAAACAAAAAAAAGTTTAACAGAGCAAAAAATTCAAGTTAGTATTAAAAAAATATAATAATAATAATATATGAGATTTCTATTCGTAAAATAAAAAAATTTTCTTTATAGAAATTGATTTTGAAAATTTGGAATCAAGAATTCATACACTGCAAAAAATGTTAAAGGAAGGAATAAATTTAAATTAAAAGTATTTTTATTAATATATGCAGTATTGAGTATGTATATACTGAAACACACTGTTGTTTTTGTCAGTGTTGTTATTATACCAGAACGACTTTAAGTAAATTGGCAGAGCTATAAACAAAATAATTTCTTATTTAAGCCATTATTTAAAATAACATCACTTTAAAATGTATAATAAAAAAGAAATCAAATATATAAAGATACAAGTAGAAAATACTGGATATTTTCTGAACTATTATAAAGACATTTCTGCATGAAATTGTACCTTCAATTATATACAAAATCTTGCAATGTATGTACTGTGGAAAATATTTCTTATGTACATTGTAGCATTGTAAATGTATTTGTTGTTTTCAATAATACCAGGTTACATCTCTACTATCATATTTGTTAATAAAATTATAAAATTACAGTTAATTAAATTTATCTGCTTTTACATCAGTTTGATAATATACTATAGCCTTCTCAACCAACGACTGCTTCTCATTTTCTCTACCATATATTTCCATGTTTGTTCTTACATTTGTACTTGTATCTTGTTTTCCATTTGTATAACTTTGATCTTTTGGATCACTTGTTTCTGTGATTATACGTTTGGAAGGCAATTTGTGTTTTGTATGGTTTGACAAAACTTGAACAGCTTCTTGTAGGTATTCTATTTCAGCTTGTTGTCGAGATGTAATTTTATTTAAATTTTCAATATCATCAGTAAACTTCTGTATCTGTTCAAGGCGCGCTTCTTCCTTTTTCGTTTCTTTTGCAACTTGACGATTATATTCTAACACTAAGCAACCACCAGCAACACTAAAAATGATAACCTCACCCATCAGATTTGCCCCTAACTCTATTGCCATAGCCTCGTTTAGTTTGGCAACTTTTGTAGGTTTACCAAGATTCATTACATACATCTTGGTTTTAACTTCAGCCCAGTGATAAACTGCAAATAAATTACAATTACAAAATATTTAATTATACAATTATGAAGTATTCTCATAACTATTATTATTAATGACATCAATGTAGATTACATCACAGTAATATCAAAAAACCACTCTTCATGTACCTTACAATATTTTGTTACTTACACTGTGCTGGAGGTATAATAAAATAGGTTCTAAATACAGGATGATTTTTCGCTTGACTAACGAGAAACTTTGCTATAGGTTTACTAATTTGTTTAACAAACAACACTCCTAACTTGAGAGCTGGAAAAACGCCTACTACCATTTTTACTTATTATTTTCACTACCGCTTAATGGTTTGCGTAGTTACATCCGATAAATATCTATAAATTATAATGAACATGTGAAGAAACATTGTAATGTTTCAAATGTATTATATTTGTAGCTGATTTTCATAATAAGTACATTGATCGTTTTTAACGCACATGTCACTCTTACTTCAGAGTGTAGCAGACGGCCACCATGTCGTGTCAGGGAGGTCGTGCAATCAATGTGACCCGCAATACTGTAATTATCTATTAAAGGTTAAGAGAAATTACTAGATATATATTATATATTTTAGTAATAGAGTAGTTCAATAGATTTATTTCAATGAAAATTGGCATATGATTTTTTGCATCTCGATAATGGAGCTGCACTCATTGTTTATGTTAGAGGTTTTAACTTATTCCCCTCGCGTTAGTAACTTGAAAATAATGTTCCCCACTACCTCTACTTTAATAGCTAGCCGAGATTGAGTATGTAAGCAGTTCTATATGATGTTCAATACAAACAGGTAAAAGTAGGTATGAAGAGGGAAGCTTTTCGTGAGGGGAATGTCTGTGGTAACGCACAATCTACACCACAAAACTTCATGATATAGATGGCAATACCATTTTTCGTATATCTCTTGGGAGATAAAAGTGGCGCGAAGTGTAACTCTACATAAATGAAAACCATGCTTGCAGTGATTAATCTGAGAATATATTTAATTTCTGATTGTTTGAAAAAAAGTAATCAATTGCTCAATACTGTAGATCAACAAGCAATTATTATTTGAAGAAATTATGTCTGAATAAAAACTAGTGGGATATAGAAGTAAATATTTACCTTATTACGAATGCTAATTGAAAATTCATTGTTATCTGTTCCAATGTTGACGTATGGTTAAAAGAATGCGTATATTATTTACTTCTTTATGTCATGACAATTAATATTTCGAAAAATGTCGGAACCTGTGGAGATGTTACAAATAAATAAATGTGTTTTATCAAAATTATGGTATACATCTCTTATTGCTTATCAAGAAGCCAACGGTGATAAGTCTTTTTCCTGTCAAAATGATATTATAAACTTCCTTGAATCTGAATTGTCAATTGAAAAGTTAATGTAAGTATAATAAAAGTGTGCATACAATACAAATAAATTGTTGTATATACAATTCTAATGTAACATAAAAATTTGGGTACATTATGCATATATGACAATTTTTTAATTTACTTTTATTTATTTAATCTTTTTAGCTGTGCTCAAGAAAATAGTCAACAGCAATGGATCGTTCAGATATTATTTCAGAAACTTATTGGCAACACAGCTTCAGATATCAAAAATATAAAGAATTATTCCAGTTGTATGCAAATGCTACACGCTCTGCAATTATGTCAAAATTTAACAATAGATTTGCAACAGGTATTTCAATAATCATTCATTCTATATGTCCTTTCGATGATTAATAAGATTTTTACTACATTAAAAAAATATATTTTATAGAGATTATTGATGATATATGAAAGTAATTCAAAACAAATAAATTCAGAAGTATTTGAAAAACTACGTGAAGAATGTTTCGTATTCTTAAGAGAAAACATTTATGATAATTCAGTCATTATTTGTTGGATCATTAATGAATTATTGTCTTTATATTTTGATATATCATCCAATGTTTTTCATAGTTTCCAAGACATTTACATGTCGTTTCTAAACGAATTAGTGGAATATAAACCAACAAATAAACAACTAATTGACAATTCTCTTGGATGCGCATTATGTATTATATCTAAAATGAATATAGTTGACTCTAACACAATTGAATGGTTAAAGTTATGTTTTCCTATGCTGTTAAAAGTATGTAATATCCAAGATATTGAACTTGCATTGTATTCAAGGATAGAAAGAAACCCTTTTAACGCGTGGTGCACATTTTTCAATGAAATATGTGGACGTTTTAAAGTTATTGAGCATTTGGATGATGCATTGAAAATCCAAGACGTATTATTCCATTATACTTCTACGACAGTTCCAGTTGTAAATATAAGTAATCTTGCAGCAAGAGTAGTTAATATGAAACTGCATTGGGTAACAGATATTTTGGTACGTAACAAAGAAATAGATTATATCATCGTTACATCATCTGATATTATGTTTGTTTCAGGATATTTGTTATATCTTAACGATAAATGGAAAATATGATAATGTTACGTTGATATTAAGTTGTAAATTATTTAAGAATTTCTGGCCAGTTTTACTGTTTAAAGTTTTAAATGATTGTACTAATGAAGAAATTGTTTCAAACAAATCTGAAGAACATCATAAAATGATATGTAACTCAATTCAATTTTTAACATTAAAATGTAATTTTGATACATTTTATGATTCTCTTTTTCAAGTACTTAACGTTTCATTGAACAAATGTGTTAAAATTGTGGAGTACATCATAAATTGGATGAAAGATAGTTCTGGTATGAATAATGATGATCAAATTCAAGAACCAATTAAACAGAGAATTTCCATAAAACAGATATTTAATCTTCTACTACATTTTAATAGTCTTTCAGTACTGAAAATGACAACGAATATTCATGAACAGCAGTATGATAAAATCAGAAACTTATTACAGGATCTTTCAGAACCTGAAAATATTTTTTATGCATATTGCAGCGTTCTTAGCGCTTTAAAAGCTATTTTATTATGCGACAATTACGATACAAGACGAGATATTATTACATGCCATTTTTCTGATATGAAACATTATGTACAAATGGTATATCCACTGAAGTTGCGAATAGATGTAATAAAGGATATATTTTCTTTACTTTTCTTGAGACATGAAGACTTTGATCATTCACAAAAGAATTATAATAAGAGCAGCAAGAGTACCTCGAATGAACTAACAAATTTTGAAAATAAATGGTTGGAATTATCTTCAACAGGTTTTTTTTGTAATAAATATATTATAAGAGATATGTTATATCATTTGAAAGAAATCATGTTAGCCACAGAAGTTGAATTTACAAAAATGAAAGATAGTTATACAGAAGTAGATCAAATTCAAAAAGACATCTCATCTATTAATGCAGCAATTGCAGATGCTAGATGGAGGCTGGAAATTTATACAAATTTACAATTTACAGAAGATATTAATATGTGTAAAGATACAAATAAAAATTTGTATACTAAGCATAAGATTCTGTTAGATGGAAAATTAATTTTAAATCGTTTCAAAGAGAATGTGCTTTTTTACCAAAAAGTTAGTACATCGGATGATACGAAAATTCGATCTGACAGTAGCTCAGAATCGGAACCAACACATAACAACATTAAATGGAAAAAACGTTCTAAAAATACAACATTGACGATAGATGCTACGGCAACCAAAGATGTAACACACAAACCAATGTTTATAAACTTTATGTTAGCAACTAAAGAAAGCCTGGTTATTCAATGTTTGTGGAAAAATGATTATGTAAAGGCACAGGATATTATTGAGGTAAATAATATATGTAAAATATATTTATATATTTCTTATTACAGTTTCAAACTGTTCGAACGTATCTTCTTCAAATTCAGTAGGTTCATATGTAATCAATTGTTGTGTTTCACCTTTCTTCTTAACTTCAGTGACTAGAGTACCAGGAGGATTAATCGCGTAATACTGTTTCGAGAATAAAATTCTTTTGTTAGGGAAACAAAACTTGCAACGAAAGCAACAGCAACACCAACCTACAGAACAATACAATGCTTTCATAAATTTGTATTATTGTATTAAAAATAATTGCAAATTACCTTTTTGACACCAACACGGAATTGCAAGACATACATAAATGAAGAACCAAACTCTAATAACCAACCACATTTTCTGCACAGGTTTTTTCAATGCAGGTGTTTTATGTTCATAATTATATATTAAACAATCTATAGCTTTAATACCCAACTGTTTCGACGTTTCCGTGCAATTTTTGAAATCAAGTAATTTTTGTAACATGTCTTTAGGATATTCTTCCGATTGCTCTTTATAGGTATAATTCAATAATTTGTTATCAGTTAAGTCTTTTCCTAATTGTTCTTCATATTCTTTTTTAAAATTTTCATAATTGTATTCTTCTTCACCTGGTTCTGTTTCTTCTGTGTATACTGTAATGGCTTTCATATTAACATATGTATTTTGTGGAGGACTGTTTGTTATTTTATTATAGTCATTGGTGTTAGGAATACTATTTGTTGTTACTAATAATGAAAGATCAATTGGTTGCATTTGGAAAAAATCTTCAGGTTTAGTTTGATACTGATATCGCTTACTTTTATGTTTTATTCTAGAGACTTTTTTGTTCTTCATCTTTTATAATCTGAAAATAGGTAATCATCAGAAGAATACTAATTATTTTATACCTTTCATCAAATGATCTTTAAATACTTTATCTAAGTCTTCTTTGAAACCAGCCACGAATGGTTCATCATTTTTTGCTGTATTGAAGCTTTCCCATACAACTGGTTCGAATTGATTAAGCGTACCAGTAATTTGTGCTTGATTTATACTATTACGTTTATTATAGCTTTCTACTAAAGAATGCAGTGGTTTGTATCTATTTTCATCTTCCATATAAAGTTGGAGGGCTACAAGATCTACAGGTTGAATCATTTCATTCTCATTTTGTTCATTATAGTCTTTAGTATCAGATGCAATCTCAAGTACATTTTTATCCTGGAAATTAATCTATATAAAAGCATGTTAAAATAGTATTTATATACTTCTAAGTAGTAATAGTTAATAAAACAGTATTATTCGTTAATACTCAACTTTATATGACGATGATGAATTAACAGTAATAAGTAAAAGGAATAATGCAATTAACATTTTTTCGAATAACATATTTGATGGCATGTAATATCTTTTCTTACATTGTAGGCATCTGATATGAAAAATAATAACTTAAATGGAGAACTACAATTTTCTAAAGCATTATACATGTTTAGAGAAAATATATATAAACAAGGAAATACTTTACAGGATAAAAACGAATTTAAAAAAAACTTACAGCCTTCTACATTAGAGGTATATTTTATATATTCACTTGTATTAATTGTAGGAAACGTATTTAACGTAAAAATTATATTTTTGTAGAATATAAGACAAGTTGCACAAGAAGGAATACTTTCTTCTAGACAAACTAGTCAACTGGAAACTTTCTTGGCATCTCAAGAAATTAATTTACGAATGTTGAACATGGATATCCTCAATAGTAATGAAATATTAACAATATGTGTACTAGATCTGGCTTTAACTACAAGTCAGATTTATTCTATTTCAAACAATCTTTACGACGTCGCAATGAAATATTTGAAATTATGCAAAACATTTGACAATACAGAATATGAGCATTTCTTTTCTAAAATTTATCAGTTGTTACATGAAAAAAAAGATGAGATAACTGTGGAAAATATACTCTGTGATGCGAAAGTTCCTCTCACCATAAAGGAATTCAAAGAGACAGAAGACTTTTGGCATAATATCGTGATCGAGCATCATGAATTTAAAGAATCTCAGACAAATAAAAATACAATTAATAACATTTTGAAAGATGGCCATTACTTGTCAGGTTTAAAAATTCTGAGCAAGATGACTGTTATCTCCAATGAAACTGAGAAATATATGCAAATAATCTATCTCCATTTACAACTTTTGCATACAATTATTCCAACTGATCAACAGATACTTACAGTTTCTGACTTACTAAAATATCCATTACATTATTATTTTGGTCATCAAATTTTTGATCTTAATGTTGAGCCGGATAAGCTTGAAATAGTTGCTCATAAATTGCAAGTTAATTTAGTGTATAGCATTCTTACCAATGCTTGTCCTATATTTTTGTATAAAAGAAATATAAAATATCCTATTAATAATAAAGAAAGTGGATGCATTATTTTGAACAAAGCATCGTGCAAATTGGTAGGTGGTAATTATCGAAAGTAATTCTATAAAACGGTAAGAGAAACCGTAGAGAGAGTTAAAAAAATTCTGTTGTTATTTTAGGATTTAAACCATAAAATACAAGGTCCAAATCAGTGTGCTTCAGAGGTACTAACAGAACTTTTACAAGTCTTAGAAAGTATGGATGTCGATCAATTTTCCTTGAATCATGACATTTGTAAATCTATTTCAAAAAATCCAGCTATTCAAGATGTATTAAATAAAACGTCTCGTCTTATAAACTTAGATTTGAGTGAATTATCCACAGGAGATGAAACATTGACTTTTCTGTTAAATGTGTGGAATCTTATGTTTCTTCATGCCAGCTTAATTATCTGGGTGGATCATCCTCCATTAAATGATTTGGAACATGCGATTTCATTAATGTCAACTGGTTATTTAATTGGTGATTTGGGTTTAGTCACACTTGCTGCGCTCAGATCGAAATTGTTCAATAATATGATATTAGATGATACATTTTTTATGGAACTGGAAGAACTTAATGAACCAGTGTGGCAAGATTTAGACATCACCCATGACCCAAGAGTAATTTTTATAATGGCCAGTGAATTTTATGGAACACCTTGCATTCGAGTAAGTTACATTTCTATTTTTAGCTTTAATTATATATTATAAAATAATTCGTTCACGTATTCGTATTATTAGATCTGCAGTCCGGAATCGGTGAACGAAAGTCTAAGGAAAGCTTTCCTGGAATATATTGATTATTATTCACAGAGACTCGAGAAGTCTGAACAAGTCACCGAAACGCAAAGAGTAATTTTATTACCTGATACTGTGAAACAATATCAAAATTTTATTTCTGAGAATGGCAAAAACAATATTTACGATATTCATAATACTGACAATTTATTAACAGTAGATGATTATTTTAAGCATTTTAAGGAGAATATAATAATACAATACATGGCACCTTCGTATTCGTATGATGTGATATTGAAGTATAAAAATGTATCTTATATGCAACATCAGAAACAAACCAATTTGAATAAGAGTATTCAGAAAGTAGATACTGTACGACCAAGTTTATTACAATATTTGGAAAACTATTGTTGGGTTGTTTCTTATCTTCTACAAAGAATATATAATGAAAATCCAACTATTTTAGAAAATAACTGTGATAATTTGAAACGTACTGCTTGCCTTGAAAATCTGTTAAGTTCATCTTGGATAAGAGATATGAAACCCCTTTTCGAATGTAATCAAGCTCTAGTAGCTATTCTCGAAATAATACCAATACAGAAACTATGGTCACATTTCGAGGTGATGCTAAAAGCAAATGAATGGCATAATTGTTTAAAGCTTATAAATGCTTTGCCAGATAATCTGGTTTTAAGTATGGAATTGCAATATTTTAAAGATAAAGTTCTAAGTTATATTGTTTCCAAAGAAGAAGACTCCAAAATATTGCAATATGTGTATCAAATCAAAGATATTTATATATTAAGTCAAACAGTATTATATAATGTCAACAAATGGCACGTGGATATTTGTGTAAATGCTTTACTTCATTCAGTGCATCACGTGGATAGTTACAAGTTACCTACACACTGTAAATTACAGTTAAAAGAAATTTTACATAGAGTTCTCCTATTTCACAGAATAGTTCCATATTGTATGACTCGTGGCTCTTGTTATAACATTGCCTATTGCACAGACAAAATTGACCCACTTCAACTTATCAAATCATTAATAAATGCAAATAAATTCGAATTATGTTTGGAATGGTTAGAGAGTCAAGCATTTTCTTTAGAAATACACCTTTCTATGGAACAAGATATTTTGATGGGCCTCTTAAAAAATGAATCTCAAAGCTTTAATCAAACGTTAAAGGTAAAATATTGCATGATTTTATTATAACAACTTATCCGATTACTCTAATTAATGCTGTTTTTTTTTCAGTTTCTTCAAGCTTTACCTTTGAATCAATCGGTTAAACTATGCGAGACTGTGTTAGAAAAATTGGAATCTATCAACGCATTGCAGTTTATTTGTAATTATTTACTGGAGCATTGTAAAGCAACTGAGACCATCAAATATAGACAAACGTTAATAGGAATTGAAATTTTACACATGTTGGAAGCTCAAGAAAGATCATTGCATATTCATCTCATAAAAGAACCATTATTAATGTTGGAACAGTTGTTGATGAATTGTAAATTTGACAGTATTCAAAAAATACTAAATAGAATCGCAGACAAACTACCGCAAGCAGATATTTCAAGGGACAGTTTAGATAAGATTATAAGATTTTATGCACAGAAATCATTGGATTGTCGTGTATCTTTGCAATGTGATAACATTGAAAACAAATCCAAACATGTACAGTATTTAGAGGCAGGAAGTAATGAATTTGTTATGCCCGTTCTGGTTCCTACTAAAGAAGAATGGGTGCCCAATGATAAGGTACATAGTTACTATACATATATTACATTGTTTCGTACACTTATGATATAATAATAGATCTTCTAATTCATATTTTCCTGTAACAGGCTAGGGAATGCAGTTGTTGCAAAACTGTTATATTTTCCATGTTCAACAGACGACATCACTGTCGTAGATGCGGCCGTGTTATATGTGCTCAGTGTTCTCAACACCGTATGCAAGTACCTGGTTACCCGTCGTCTGTGTTAGTGCGTGTATGTGATGACTGTAAACGGCTGACAGTACTACAGACACGAGCACATCAAGGAACACCATCTACTGTCAGTAGCGAAACGTTTGACTGTTGGAGATTAACGAAAGATGAAAAACACAATGAATCCATTAGAGAAGAATTTTCATTCGAGTATGCACCAAACATTTCTTTGTGTTTGGCAATTCTTAATCTACATTCTGATCATAAAACATATGCCAGGTAATAATTATATCTCTAATTATCATTTATTGTAAATTCATTCTACGAAACAATATATTCTACATAGCTTTTGAATAATATTTAGTAAAACTACATTGTCATTACAGCTTTTTATTAGACCGTTGCGATGAGATGAAACGTCTTTTGCAACCTGTTAGCGGAGGAAAAGTAAATCCAGAAGTCGATCATACTGTAATCATCAAAATGATACGTTCCCTGTTGGTTGCTGCAAAAGTTAAGTGTGCCAAACTTGGTCTTAACATTGGATTGGTACATTGCGATCGTTTTTTGTCGCAAGTAGACCTTATCGCTAGTTTGGTTCAGTCTGACTACCTGCATCTTATACCTTCCGACAATTTGGATGGGCGTGCTTTAAGAAAACTTAGAGATTTGCTGATTGAAAAAGAACAGTGGACCCTTGCTCTAGACGTGAGTACCAAAGCAGGGCTGGATACTCAAAGTGTATGGGCAACCTGGGGTAAAACATGTTTAAAAACAGGATACTTCGATCAAGCTCAGGAAAAGTTTTGCCATTGTCTTGATAAAGTCCAGCATGAAGATTTTGACGATTGGGTGATTCTATCATATCCGAAAGATTCGACAACTGAAAGCAGAAGAGGAAACCAGAAGTCAATGACTGAAAATAAAACTGATAACGATAAAGAGTTTACAATGGACGAGTTAAACATAAGAAAAGCAGAATTCTCGAAAAATCGTCCATTAAAAGATCCACCATTACTTACGGAAATTCTTCAAATATTGGACACTTTGAGCACATACAAACAGTACCCACATTATCCGCATCAATATAAGTCTAGTGCCCCACAAGAAATATCAACTAATTTTGGATACCTTAAAGTGACAAATCATGGACAAAAAAATACACTCTCAGCCATGCATTATGTTTATTATTACGAAAGTTTGTATTATTTGTTAACATATGGAAGTTTTAATTCGATTCTGGAATTTTTCTTAAAACACAATGAATTTAGCGAATGCTTGACATTCACTTTGGAAAATGATTTGGAACCTGATTTATTTTTCAATGCGATTTACTTGTATTGCTTGAAAAATGGAAAGACTGAAAAACTTCACGAAGCTATGAAAAATAAAGATTCTAGTTTACTAATTTGGAAAAAGTATTTAATATATATTTGCTACAACTTGGAAAAAAAACAATATCTGCATATTTTGTATCAGTTGCAGTTATTCATGAAAGACTCTATAAGAGCTGCAATGACGTGCATTCGTTTTTACCGTGACGAAGTAAGTAATTACACAGATTTGTGTGTCAGAGGGAATTTCTTGCTCGATGCTCAGAAACACTTGGAATCTGAGCTACAAATTGAAAATTTAAATAGAAAAAGGAAAAAGAGTACAAGTTCCATGCACAGCAATCAAGGAATTTTAACGATGGAAATGGAACCTCCTGAAATAGATAAACATATAAACACCATCTGTAGACAAATGGAAATTACAAAATTCCTAGCAACTTGCGAGAAAGAGGGCAGGGCACCGGTTCAGTTTTTAAATTTGTTTCCGGGTAAAGATACTGATAGTAAAACTCTCGAACTACCAACGTTATTTGGCAACCAGCAGCAGAAAATAGATCTGGCTGTTCTAGCAATACTCTGTGGTCACAACATTGAAGAAGGATTTGGGATCGCATTCAGAATAATACAAGGTTTTCCGATAATTACACACAATATAAATACCTTCTGAATGCTATAATATATTATTTATATTAGTGATATATATATATATATTATTTCAGATTATAATCTACCACAACAGAAAGTGTATTCTTTAGCTGGTCATATCTTGACACTGAGATATGATATTCCTGGAATAGAGCAATTGATTAAATGTTGTCACACTTCTGGAATACCAAATTCATATATTATATCAGATTATGTTCTAACACATTGTGTAAAATTGTTATTGAATCGGTTACACGGAGAACTAGAATCAACTTCGAAAACTGATGTAAATAATCTTATCAGATTAATAACCGACATAGAACTTAAAGTAAGATTGCAGTCTGTACATTATAATATTTTCATATTGTTCAGTGCATCATTTGAATTTCGCAATTGTAGATAAATGCGTATATCGAATGCAAGCAATTAAAAGCTGCATATTTATTAGCTGTGAAACATGCAAGAGCACAGGATATAAGAAAAATTTTGAAAGAATCTGATAGACTCGGTCAAAATGCTATTAAAGCAATATGCATGAAATGGCTTCAACAAGAACCAAAATCATGACTTCAGACTGTCTTATAAAAGTAAGTAATACATTTTAAGTTCCTTTATTATACATTTTTAAAGGCTATTGAAGAACTTTATACAAACATTAGTTAAATAACTCTAAATATCAAGTAAAAATCTTCCATTGCATTCCACAAATATTTATATTGTATAATATATAAAGCGATTTCACTTTTTACATTTCTCCTTTCTTTATAATTGGAAGAAATATATTTTTAGATTATTATGCGATAAAAATTCAAAGCTTTTAATTAGATAATAAGATGAAAGATTGTAAGATGAAAAGTGCAATAGTTGCAATGTTTGATGAAAATTTATTGAAGTATATGTATGATAATAAATAACATTGAAATAATTAATAAAATATTTTCATACCTATTTTTATAAGCAAAATAATACATCTATCTAATAATTTGTAATCATAGTGATTACAAAAATATATACTTAAAAAATCCTCTTTCCTTGCTCCTATATGTGCAAGAAATGTCTAATAAAAATTTAATGTCATGAGATAGTGTTGGAATGTACGTATACATATTAGAAATCCTATGTTATAAACAAATTTTACAATGCGTATAAATACTTTCAATTACCCTTTACAATAAATTTCATTAAAATTCAATATACCTTCCATTTTATAAATATAAATAAGAAATCCTCTGATAATAAGTCTTTTCAATTTAAAGATAAACCTATTTTACAATATGACAGAATATTAGTTATTCTACACATTTATTCATGATTTTTTATCTTCACTCACTAGAGCTGACAGTTTTTCTTCGTACTTTTCTGCGAATACAGGATCTGTATTCTTAATTGAAGAGAGTAAAGAATCCTTTTCTTGTTGGGACCAATTATTGCTCCATTCTCGAAACAGTTTCACCCGACATTGAAATATACTTGGAGGTCTATCAGATCCTTCAGAACACCCCAGTGTTTCCATTCTGGAAACTAATCCGTTCACAAGACCTGTTGGTCCACATTGTTCCAAAAGTATACTCAGAAAATCACTTCTCTGCATTTCTGACCATTCTTGAAACCATTCTGTTACATAACGCAGCTGAGCTTCATTCGACAGTAAAGCAGACATGCTTTATTCTAAAAAAAAAGGAAACAATGGTCAACTAATTAATTATAAAATACTACATTCAAAACATGATTGATATTTATTTTAAAATTTACAGAGGCAAGAAAAGTGAATAAAAACTAAGAAAAAAAAGTATTGTTCAAAAATTAACATGACATATTAGACTGCATGAAACACAACATTTTTAACCCTAATTATTATTATTATACACTGTTAAAATTTATACGATAAAAAGGATGTATTTACCGGTGACGTTTTCTTTTACCAGTGATGTAATTCTCGTTCACTTATAATCGATTTATCGCTTTTTGGCATCACAAAAATTTGGGGGCAAGTTACTTGTCAACACAGTTGTAATGACAAACTTATCATATTTGATGGAAAGAATCTGTATATTACTTTAAAATGCCATAACAAAGGGTAATAAGTAATTACAATATACTATTAGTTGATCAATTTGCATTTCTTAGGGTTAACTTCGATCTCTTCATCAAAATCCGACTCGCTTTCCGATCTTGGCAAATCTAAAACTGATAAAAATTTATTAGTTTCCACGATCTGTCGGATAAATAATTTAGACAAATGTGCATATGTATATAATTTCTGTGTTTATTTACGTTCACTATTAGCAAGGCTGTCTTGTTCTTCTATAATGCTAGTCAAAAAATCATTAATTTTGATTTGAGTCTGCTTCAAAGACAAAATTAAGCTGCTCAAATTATTTTCGCTCGGCTCAATATTACTATTATTTTCATAAACGCACTTATCATTTTCACTAATTTTTACGGTCAAAGTTGTACCAGTCATTGTGATCTATTTTTGTTAGTTTTTCATTCGTTCGTAGAAATATTTACATTGATAAATGTACAACTTTTATATCGCAAAAGTTTCGGCTATCTGTTAACGGCGCAGTAGTTTTCTATAATATTCAATCATTTAAATAAAAAATCTTGGATCATAAGAATTTGATACAGAAAATTACTGAAGCTTTTTTAAATGATCGTTAAAAAGATATAACGTTTTTAATTATTTGAATACAATTTTAAAAGTGTAAATGGAAATACTTGCAATAACATGTGAACGCGCCATAAAGTTATATTTGCTGGATCCCAGCGCCACTTATATGTGGCCATTCTGTAAGTAAATGATTCATTCGTTTAAATATTTTATTTCTAATATAATAAAATTTCTTTGACTTTTAGGATAAATTTGTGAATACTCATCATAATATTATATTTCCTTTATTATCATTTTTGTAATAGCTTTATTGTTAGTATAAAAGTTTACGTTCTTTTAATTTGATCAATAATTAAATAAATATTTAAACGAATCAATTACGAACAGAACAGTCACAGAATTTTGTATCACAGACAGGAATGCTGTTTTTCGTAACACTTCTCAGAAAACAAGCATGAGTTTGAGAACTAAGTATTATGTTCAACCGCACATAAATATACTTTATAACCTGTAAGGCAGCTAACTATACCTTGTACTTGACAGACCATAAAGGCATATGTTAGGATTAGCAAAATGGTTCTGCTGGAGAATGATGTGGTAATTTTTGGAATCCAAAGTGTTATTCTTTTGTACTTTTTATATTAATTTTAATTTTAGTTTCTAGTCGAGCTAACACGACTTTTCGATAAATCTCGTCTTTCTGGTTCAGTAGTACTCACTATTAAACGATGTAAGTATTAGTATTGTTACTTCTTTATATAGTTTTAATATTGTGTGTTCTATAAATTATTGTTATTGTCTATTTAGTTAATGGACACAATAAACCAGTACCCAGGAAAGGCAGGCCGCCCTTACCAACACCAAGTGAATTTCTTTGTTTAGTAAGAGCTACCTTAAGATCTAAGAAAATATCTACTGTTGTACGTATCATTTTACATTCAAATTGTTATAAAAACAGGAATAAGGAATTAAACCTAAATTATATATTTTGATTTTCAGATTCATTCCAAGGATGTAAATAAATTTCAACAAGCGTATTGGAATCTATTGAAATCAAATGTCAATGGCCTCAAGAAATTAAAGAAAGTAAAATCTGCAAAGCCAAAAGTTCATTGACAGTATAACATAGATTATTTAACAATTATATATTATTATTATAATTATAATTATTATATATATATATATATCTGGTATAGTAATAGTAATCATAATTACTATTGACCTCTTGTATGACACAAAATACATTTTTTCTAATGTACTATATGATATTGTCTAAGAAATAAATTACATTTTGTGTAAATAGTATCAAAACAAATGATTTAGCAAACTTGTTTACTTGCTTTATACAAAATATAACTATAAACTATTCACCTTTGTAAAATGTTTCAAAATAAAAACGTTTCTTAGGATACCGAGATTTTTGGAACACCCTATAGAAATTAAAGACGCGTCAACTCACCAATCACCGATCGGCAATCAATAATACACCATTTATAGTTGAATTTGTAATTTTCGATTTTGTAAACGATCTTTAAGTACTTATGCAAATTGCATTATGATTATTAAACGTTTAATTCAAAAACAATTCTAATTCAAGTAATTTTAAAAGCAACATTTTACTAAATCTTATACATTTTGTAGTAGTGCAAAATTAATGACATTTTTTTCATTAAAAAAAATAAAAGAGAAAGTTTATTTAAAAAATAAAAAGCTGATATTTATGTCCCTGGAATAATTTTAAATAAAATTAATCACAATTTATAAGAAATATGTTGGACAAAAATACGTAAGGCGTGCCCCTTGACGTAGGCCATTTTGTTGTGCGTTCAGGCTTACAGGGATTATCCCTTCAGGGGCAATTGAAAATGATCGAAACAAGTTTCGAATGGTAGTGTAAAAGTGTCATTGGTTTATTGGAGAAGGTGATCCTACTTTCGCTCTTGTTTTAAAGTGACGATTTTTTTTAATAAAAATATAACCGTCGAGCTATGAATACAATTGTTATACGCGCATTATAATTGATGTGCACGCCTCGTAATTCCGACCTGTGATTACACGATTACATTTTATTCTCGAATAAATCGGACAATCTGTTTTTATTCGTAATTATAAAAAAGAAGAACGATGGAAGAAGTAATGGGTATGTAAAACTTTCCTTTTTTTATCGAAAACATTATGTGTTTCGTACCAGATGATGTCTAGTACACTATAATTTTTATAATTTTTGTTATAGAAATTGTGAAAGTTGAAGATATTATATCAATGAAAGATACATCTTCGGTAGACAATTTATTTGGTAATTTTTTTACCTTTGTATTTGTTTATTAGTTTGTAATACTTATATATCCATGATAATAGGTTCAGTATTAATTCTTGATTATTACAGTTACGGATAATGTAGAAGAGGCCATTGTAATAACCACTGATACAGAACCCAATATGAAAGGTATACATAAATGAATGTAGCTTTTCCTGTAATAATATGTAGAAGAGATAACTTTCTGTTTTATGGTACTTGCTCTGTTTGCTTTATTTATTATAGTACTTTCTTATTACATTTTTACAGTTATTACTGACGGTGATCAGATTATACAAATTATAACGGATTATGAATGTGTAACATGCCGGCGAGTCTTTAGGTCTCAGGATGTAAGCTTTATATATTTCATTTGACAGTACATACCAATGTTAATTTATAACTCTTTTCGGTATAAACAATGTAAGCAATTATATTTTATATGAAGTTTCTAATAAAGTTATTAATCATTTTTATAGATGTTAACGGAACACTTAGATACGTGCAGAGAAGAAGATGACTCTATGACTCTTGTAGAACTTCGTAATGTAGACCATTATGATTCAGAAGAAGATAAAGACGATGATAATTCAGAATGTGTTGATGATATCAGCATGGAAGGTATATTATAGTGTAAATATTATTTTATTATAATAACGTTATTATTATATTGTAAAATTATAATTATAGATTCAAATTCAAGCAAGCAAAAAAATAATCGCAGACCACCTAAACCAGTAATTATGCCAGTACCTGAATCCCAATGTCATTGTTGTGCAGAAGACTTAAGTACTGCTCACAGTGGTGGTGAACATAAATGTTCAGAATGTGACCTCTCATTTAAGAAAAAATCATCTTTAGACAGACACATAGTAGTAATTCACTGGAATTATGATTCTTGTGTTTGTAAAGAATGTGGACATTCATTTAATAGTAGGAAAGCATTGAATAAACATCGTTACACTACTCATGGAGATAGAAAAATTTTTAGGTATATATAGATTTTTACTAAAAAATAGGAAAGGGATAGTAATGAACTATGTGAAATAATTTGTTTTAACTCTAGATGTGAGCCTTGTGACACTTACTTTTCTCGAAGCTACCATTTAAATCGACACATAATGCAATCTGGTTGTCATGGTAACATTCTTAATACATTTAATTGTCAAGTGAGTGTTTTTATTTATTATTAAATATCGATGCATAAGTAAATGAATTATTTAATTTTATACGTATTGCAATAGGTTTGCCAAAAAGGTTTTACACGTAAGGATAATTTACGTGAGCATTTACGTACGCATGCTGGTGAACTTCAGAGACCGAAGAAACCATGTAAATACTGCCCTAAGGAATTTCACACTACTCAACAATTAGTAATTCATGAACGTGTGCATACAGGAGAACGTCCAGTTCAGTGTGATTTATGTCCGAAAACGTTTTTATCAACTCTCGCACTAAGAAAACATAGACGCGTGCATACAGGAGAAAAGCCATTCGAATGTCATTATGTAAGTATTGATTTCATAACTAAAGTTTAACTTTTACTGGTAGCAATTTATTTTCATTTGAAAAATGTGACGTCAGTTTTTAAATCTCTCGATAATAATTTTTTTGTATAATTCTATTACAAGCATACATTATGGACAGGGAGTATTGTGTAAGTTTTAGCAGTTCAGAAATATTGAATATTTCCAATCTGGAATGCAAAATTAATACAGAATTTTTTTAATTGAAATATTTCTACCTCCTATAAAATGCTTCTTACTTATTTTAGTGTCAAAAGAAATTTGCTGCTCGTGAAACATTAAATCGTCATGAGAGAACCCATACTGGCGAAAAACCTCATGTTTGTCAGTATTGCAACAAATCATTCATTCAAGCAGCTCAATTGAGAGCACACATATTTCATCATACCGGTGAAAACGGTTTTTATTGTGATGTATGCGGAAAAGCGTTCAATCGGAAGGCTCGCTTGAATGTTCATAAAAAGTTTGTCCACGAAGGAGCGACCCCATTCACATGTGAAGTTTGTGAGAAAAGGTTTATAAGAAGAGAAGATCTTGTTAAACATTCATTACTTCATACAGGCATTAAACGTAAGCTACAATGTCTTTGGTTTGAATATTATAATTTTGATGTGTCATGTACATAAGCGGATAATTTCTTTCATATAGCTTTCAAATGCGACAAATGTGAAAAAGCATTTTCCACTAAATCCTCTTTGCAAGCTCACTTAAATACTCACAGAAGGGAGCCACCACAATCTTGTCTTGAGTGCAACAGAGTGTTCATTCGGCAAGATTGTTTAATGAGGCATATAAAGGCAAAGCATCGTGAATTGTTAGAGGACGTTATGAACGAAGTGGAAAAGAAACATTTGCAAACGCAGCTGTACAATATTGCAACGCTTGCAGCCGAAAAAACGAAGAATGGTGAATCTAAAGAACTCTCTACCGATGAATTATTAACAGCTATTTCGGATCTATTAAAAATATTAATCGATGATGAAACTCTCCAGGTATGTAATAAAATAAAAAATAATTTTTAATTATAATGAATGTGTAACATAACATATTTAATTAATCTTGATTTTGTAGCTGTTCGGTTGGCCTGAAGCTCCCATTCAAGATATCCTTGAGGCCGTAATTAGAAGGTGTGGTCATTTACCAGTTACATCAGATACCAATTTTTTCTTCACCGAGCGGTTAAGAGAAAACGTCAAACTTTTATTCAGCGTTGTTATAGAAGACGATCTAGTAAAATCTCTTTTAACAACGAAAACAGTAGACGATGTAATTTTACATGTTTTGAAACTTTCAAAAGAATATACATCGAGTTCGTAATTGTATTAAAAGAGATACAATATTACTTTCCTCATTTTTAATGAATATGCGACAAATTCAACTTTTATAAACAAATGAGATGTTCCATACAGTGTGAAAGAAATGGTACTAATAGAATTGGAAAATATCGCCAAGCTGAAAAATTACAGAGGCAAGAAGAATCAAATAGTGTCCTAATACTTGCGAGCAGATCAATGCATAGTATAATTTACTCCATATTACTGTTATGGTGTACTATATAATGTTATGATTATTAAAAGATTACACATATCTAGAATATTTTCGTGATGTATTTTTGATACGAGCGTTTACTTTGTTTTTATTGGAGATCTTTTGAACCATTATCGTTACATGGGAATCCATACTTACGTTACCTAGGCATTTTATATTACAGTAATATACATTTTTTAGGATGTACGTGATTACTTGAGAACTACACCTATTTTAATGGATTGCAAATGGTGTCTTAATTTCTGTATTTAATTATTCCACATTTTTCATTGTTAATAAATGCTCTTGAAACATTGCAACTGTTCATTGTTTCCATGTCACATCATAAATTATATTTTTCTTATTAAGGGTGAGATATTTGTTTCATAGAATGCATACTACTAACATCAAATTGTTAATTGAATTACCATATTGCAATATGATAACAATTATTGTTGTATTCGTAGATTAATATCTTAATAATTTATTAAAGTAAGAGCAGATGTGCTAATAGTTTCAGTATTATACTGTCGATGGCGCCACGTACACTTGTGTCTAGTTTAATAATTTCTTATAAAAAAGTTAAATGTTCATAAAAAGCATTAAAACTAGAAATTCTTAATATATAAAATTCATCCAGAGATATATAACAAGTAATTTTACAGCATCGTATAAGATATATAATTGTAATTATCTTGATTTTGATTCCAATCAAGACAGATAACACGTGAGATTATCTGTTTATAATTTGAGCTGTGCATTGTTGATATTTGCTTATATTGTTTATATTTAAATCAATAATGATTGCATTGGATACATCAGTCAAACTTGGAAAATCTCCAAAAAAACCACAAGGTTTGAAATCAAATTTATGTAATTATTATTTTTATGTCAAGAAATATTGTTCTATTTGTCTACTTAACCTTTTTGAAATTAGTTTGTGTGTTAGCGTACTGGTAATATATTTTCAAATATTAAACATCGTAAAATAGAAAATTAATAAAGTGAGTTTTGAATTAATAAATATTATTTATTAAACACAGTTGAATTACGAGAAGAGAGTGATGACAGTGGGCAAGACAGTGATGATGATACCATGGAAACAGAAGCACAAGAATTGGAAAGTGCAGGGAATGGATTCAAAGAAACTGAATTCAAAGAAGATGAACACAACAATCACAAAATTGGTGGAAATCCTAATTGGGCAGATGCTATGCAAAAAATTCTTAGAACAAAGAAGCCAAAACGTAAAAAAACAATAGTTTTGTCTAAAGCTAAAAAGTTATGCGATGTTATAAAGACAGAAAAGAGTGAAGAGCTGTCTTTTGAAATTAAAAAAGTGAAAGACGAGAAAGAAGTTGATCACTCAGAAGACATTGATAATAATGTAGAAAAGCCGTTAAAACAAATAAAAGAAAAAAGGAAAGATCATTTGGGTATTAGAGTGAAGCCAAATATAAGAGATAGAGAACGTGAGAGAATGTTACAAAAGATTGCAACAAAGTAATTACATTTGATTTTAAATGTAGAGATAGTACTTTAATGATTTAATTAAAGCATTTTATATTGTTTCAATTCTTTACAGAGGTGTAGTACAGTTATTTAATGCTGTAAGACAACAACAAGGTGAAATTAGTAAAAAGTTAGTAGAAGCTGGTCCATTGGAGAGAAAACGTGAGCAAGTACTTAAACACATTGATAAAAATTCATTCTTGGATGTTCTTATGGGTGGAAGTAAAAGTATTCGAGTAGATAATAATGTGAAGGATAAAGAGGAAGTTCATGAAGAAAATAATGAAAAGGTAAATATATCATATTGTATATAATATTGCACATCGTATTGAAATATTATTATTTCAAACTAAAACTATAATAAAAACTAATCATTAAAAGGAGAAAGAAACATGGAGTGTTTTGAGGGATGATTTTGTAATGGGGACAAAGCTAAAAGATTGGGACCGCGAAAATGAAGATGAAGACTCATCAGCACCAGAAGATATGGATAGTGATAATTAAATTGTATAAAAATAGTTAATATTTGTGCAGACTTTAAAGAATATTTGTATAAAAATAATTTAAAGGTATGTTAATATTTTTCATCTTATAATATAATTGTTATCCAGTATGGCAGAAAAAATTGAGTAAAACTATTATTTTAATATTCCTTGAATATATTATAATCCGATATATTATTAATCCGATTTTTATTTATCCATTTGAACGTATAAAATAGTTGTCTTTTTTCTCACAACTATATGGTATAAAAAGGAACGAATCATTGATTTCATATTAAATTTTTTAAATTTATATTTGATATTTTTTGAGCTACCCAACAACAGTAATAATAACGTGTACAATGTATAATTTCTCATAATTTACCATATGTTTATAACGCATACATGATCCTATCTAAAATTAATTCCTAACGTTAGTTTATTTATGCCACATAATTATGGCTGCAGAATAATGCCATAATAGTTTTTTCGTTAAAGTGACACAGTGTATTCCTTGTGTATTGAAGCCACAACTTTAGAATAATTAATTCAATTTAGGGATATGGTGACATATACATAATCTGTACATAGGATTTAATGTGTCCAACAGTTATTCTATACACATCTTATTTTTATTTGTCTTGTCTCCGTCATTTTTAACGATATTAACATGTTATTGTTTCAATGAAGACGCACGAATATAAATTATAAGCACCTCGTGCTGTTTGTATGTCACATATCCACCATATTATATTTTATAGTAAAGTAACGCGAAAAGCAAATATATATATAATAAATAGGTTTTAGCATGATTCACTAATAATATGTACAAAATATTTAACTTGATTTGTGGTGATTATTTTCTTAACATATATTGAACCTAGTGTGTAGATTAACCCTTGGACGGACTGAACTAACTTTACTTTATCATTTCCTTTCAATTATTGTGCCACAATTAAATTGATTGTACATTTTTTGTATATAAAATTATGTTTAGAACTTTGCTAACACTACAATTCATGATTGTGTTCGGTAGTTGCAGATAACGTTCAATTATCCGTACGCTTTGTAGTAGGCTTTTCGAAGATATCAACAATTACTGGAACAACCAATTTAAATATTTTCTAATCCTTTTATTTAACGTTCAAATCAACAGCAATTAAATTCAGTCATGAGTTACTACCATTAAATTTCATTGGAACCTGCAATTCAGAAGATCAATTGTTATAAGCACCAGTGTATTCTTTCGTGGGGTTCAATTATCAATATATATATATATTTGTCAGAGTTCTCCGTGTCTGACATTGTTCCGCGCACATTTTCAAATTAAAATAGACTTCTCTAAACTCGTACGTTTCGCACATTATACCCGACTTTCACGGATATCCGCGAGAGCTCCAAAATTCCTGGTTTCCTCGTCGGAGTAATTTGACTCGGTTTCCGCCCCCTGCGATCTAGTTGCATCGTCAGAGCTTCTGTTTCTAATATAATATCCTGATACATTAGATTCGTTGTTGCAATTAGTTACGTTCATTTCCTGTGCACTCTCAAAGTGTGCGTTCCTAAGGCCGGATGATTCTTCCTGATCCACCTGCGACCTCAATCTATCAGTCTCATTGCACCTGTTTTGCGAGGAGGATTGGCTATGACAAACTCTTTGCGAATTCTCCGCATTGTTTCTGCTTTCTTGGCTGATCCTCGACATGCTGCGCACCAGGTTCCTTGTATTCATTAATTCGTTACCCGGGTTTACGTTTCTGGACATGTCGTCCTGGTTGCTCAGACCTATTCTTTCGTTGTTCCGGATAGTGTTATCAGTCGCACAGTGGTTCCCGTTGTTGGACAACGGCTCGTCGTCCCGTTGCTGGTTCTCGTTCCCATTGATCACGTGAAACGAGGTTTCGTGCTGGTAATTTCTAAGGGCCTCGAAGTTCGCGTTGCTGAACACTCGCGGCACCATCCCTTGGCTCATACGGTACAGTTCCAGCTCGTTGTCCACGTAATAACTGTCCAAAGGGTTGCTGATGATCGACGGATTCCTCGAGACGTTCCTCCGCGGAAAGCTTTGACTAGAGAAGTTCGTTATCGTCGCGTACGGATACGCCACCGTGTTCATCGGATTGCCTAGTATATGAGGACATCCATCCAAGCTCTGCATCTCGATCTCCTCTTTACCGTCGTGGCAATAATTATGCATGTCTATCTCGTGTGGAAGATTGGCGAACCTGCGAGGAAGATCCAATTAGATACAAAAGAAAAGGAGGAAGGCAAAATTACAAGGTATTTTGAACTGGTACGACTGAGCAAAAATTGTGCAACAATCCACTCGGGCTCATTATAAAGGAAGATTCTGTTTTCACAGTTCTAAGTTCGTCTGCCGTCAAGATGCTCTTACATCGTGTAACGAATAGAAAAGAGAGGATAACTTTCATTTTCTGAATTCTACAAATTCGAATGTCCAACACTAGAACTACCAAACAGTTAAACTGACTTTTCCAGATTTCTTTATAAAACTTATACCTATTTATTAAGATTTCAATTGGTTTATATCTCAGTGTAGGTATTACTAAATCAGCTTCTTTAACGATTTCTCAGAGAAGCATCTGTACCTTCTCAGTAATTATAAAAGGAGATCAGGAATGGATCATTCTGACTTATCTGGTAATTCTAGTGTTAGAAAGGCTGACGAATTTTTTGTACGATCGAATTCGCCATGATCTTGAAGATTGAAGTTTCCTCTTTACAATGACACCCTGAAGCTTGTGCAATTTTTCTGTTCCGCCGAGTTTATGGAACTTTGAGTGTACCTGAAAACGAGGAGAACTCGACAAGATCTTAGAATTCCTTGAACTTTTGTCGTTCAATCCCAAACTTCTCTTTAATTCGTAGTGTATATACATATACCTGTGCAACAAAATGTCGGAATACGATGGTGGCATGTCCGATTCCTCCTTTCCGTAGATACTTTCGTACGTCGGGGGTGGAAAGCATCCTACGGAGCCTAGACTATCCTTGCTGGGCGTTTCCGCGTCCATCTCTAATATGCTACCCTGGCTGTTCTGTAACTGATGTCTGTTTATACTTCGCGGATTCCTTTGCGCGCGGAGGACGCTGTCGCCGAGTTCCACCAAATCTAGACCTGATGGGAAACGACGAGTAATCACAACTAATCAGAAACGCTTCTCGAATGATGAAGACACGATGTAAATATTCTACACGATAATTCCTACCGCCGTTAACCCTTTGCACTCGATAATCTTCAGACGTAGACAACATCTTTTGAAACTACTATTAAGAAAACACGCATAAATGAAGAAACAGATCTATTTCAGCGTTCCACAATTTATACTATACGAAACTTAACCCTTTGCGGACGAAGATTCTCCGAAATATGCAAACACCTTCAGCGGATCAAGCTAAATTCTACGTCAATTGCTTAATTAACAGAACAAAAGGAAACTATTGATCTCTTGCTGTTCGAGGAACTAAATCACTTGTCTTCGACTTAGTCTTCCAAATATGAACATTTCATCTCGCCGGAATGTCCGCATTCGTCAGCGAAGTGTTAATATTATATACAAGACTTTATAATGCTGCTATATCGAACCAAGTGGCAACAGAGATGCCTCTCAAGTGCAAAGGGTTAACAAAAAGCGTTCTAGAGTCGTGAACGTGATCGCCGAAGGAATTCTTTGTATGCATTCTTCTTGCACGTGTGAGAAGCTATCAGATACTAGTATAGGGGTGACATGCCAGTGACTTTGAACCGAGAAAGGAGCGATACCTTCACGTGCGAGGAAACATGTCGCAACCAGGGTCGCCTTAAGGTCCTCGTTAGGTCTTAAACCCTGTGACATTGTATTTCAGCTCATAAGGTGACGGTGGTTGCGACTGTACGTACGCGGTTACGATACTCAATGCATTCGAATGTCCAGGATCCAAGGTGTTGACGCGCCGACAAAAGCTAATATCCAGTTGCAATCTCACCAGTGGGATCGGTTTGGAACTGCGTGAAGATTGTGCCGTCCACAACGAGCATCCTACCGTGCGGCAAGAGGATGATCGTCGGTGTAGCGACCATCGCCTGATCGCTGTTGCCGAATCGGGAGTCCGGCTCGGGATCCTCGAGTCGGCAGCAACAGTGGCGCCTGCACAGCGACCTGCAGAACGGCGCGCCCCAGCAGCAATACGCGAAGATGAAGCACAGAACTGCCAGCATCACTAACAAGGCAGCCACCCCTTGGCCTTGCTGAGCCGCCGCGAGTGTTGGCCCGCCGGCGACACCGACGCCAACGCCGACGCCGAATCCTAGCCCACCGCTACTGCTCATCTCGCCTGGAACGTCACCGAGAATTCAGTTCGTCGATTAACACTTTAACACGTTCGTTACCAGCGTTACATATTTGTAACGGCTGTAATCCTATATTTTACATAATGAAAATGAAATTAATCCTATAGATACTGTTACTAGAAATTATAAGCTACAATATTATATTTAGGAACTGAATGACTCGTTTCTGTTTCATTCTTCTAATATTTTGTTCAGAAGATTCATTGGATTGAAGAAAATATCATAATTGAGAAGACCGTCGCCGACATGAGCGCTGGTAGCGAACGCGTTAAAGAACTTGCGCTGTCCTAATGGCCGCGAAGTAGGCGAAGTTTGTAGATCTGGAACCGAAAGTTGCAATCGAAGAATTCGATGGCTAAATTAGTAACGCTAATAAATATGTAAATTTTAATTTCCAATATCTAAATGAATGATCAGTTTACGTGGGAACGATAGAAATACATTTTTTATGAGGGTCGCAGTCCGATCTAGGTTTCGATTAATTTTTCATGAGAACCGCGAAGGACATCCGAACCATCCATTGCTCCTCGTTCCTGTTGGTCCCGCGATTACGTGATAACGATGCGTCGCGTCTCGCGAGTGATAAAATATTTGAATCCGCAATGCGGAGTACACGGCGACACTAACGCACGCGTTCCTGGCAATAGTCCAGTGATGATGAAGTTTTCTAAGCCTGACTTAAGCTTGCTCCTCGTTCGTCGTCATTGCTGGTCTTACTTGTCCCGCGCGAAGACAACGCGCTTCTTTCTCCTATGAAAGTGAGCGTTGCTTTCGGGCTTCAAGCATCACTCTCTCTTATGCTAATAGAATAAATTTCGTTTTCGACTCGGAAGAAAAGCGAGGTGAAAGTAGAAGAGTGTGATAATCCAGTGATATCGTAGTTGACGGCAGTAGGTCACCCGTTGAAATCTTTGAAAAATCGTAAACGGGTTCCAGTTTGATTCCGATCTGATCCAGTTTAGAACAATTTTAAGATCTCGCTCTATGTCCATGTTGAGGACACCCTTCACGGAGCGAACAAGTTTCTACTTCATCCTAGTGTCTATGAATTTGATCTACAAACCCTACCCCGTGTACATCCATAGGTTATAAACGTTGCCCGAGGCAAGCCGAACGTGTATCAAACGTCAAGATAAATATTAAAAGAAATAAACGCTCCGTTTACCTTGGGTGGTGATGTTGTAGAGCCAAGTGGTGCCGGTCGTGGTCGCCGCTTCCGTTGCCTTGCGCGTCCCGAAAACCATCTATGCAAGAAAGTCCTCTCGTATCCCCCGAGAAAACAGATAACCCTTCTCTTCTCAACGGTGTTGAAACGTGACGCGATCACATTGACAGTCGTCGCGTGTCACGGCTCGCATCACGCGGTTCCATCCGAGTCTCTATACCCAAAGGGGACCCAACAGTCGGAGGAACGGTACCAAAATTGAATATGGCGCGGCGGCTGGATCTTTAGTCAGTCGACTCGATGGCACGTTCCCAAGTCCCGTCCCATCAGCGCTATCATTCCTCTCCTGATCACTCGATGTCCTTAATTCTGCGAATTCTATTCTTGCCAGGCGATGATTACTTTCCCGCGATTAAACTGGAACTCTGTAAACCGTAGAAGCGCAGTTAACGACATGGTGAACCGTCGATAACTAGAACCAATGGCTACCGTAACGTTATTCGTACCTGTCTTTATTTATCTTCTTCTTCAATGATTCTGAGGTCGGGTCCGTGGAAGGGTCAATTCACGAGGAGACGGTGGGCTCGAATTCGAACAGCCGCACGCTGTCATTGCGAAGACACTCTTGACCCATTTCAAAGATCTCCCCACTTTACGTCAGCCCGCCGGTTTTCGCCTTCGACGCCTCTATTTCGCAACAGGGAACCTCCTTGTCCGGTCGGCTCAATACGTTTCTTCATCTGTCCCTTTGGCCTGCCTCCATCTCTCAACGGCCGCCTTTGTTCTTCGTCCTCGAGATCTATTGTTATGACAGAATATTAATTCCCTCGCGCTCTCCCCCCGTTACCATTTTCTTGCTCCTTCTTCCCTAACCTCCCCCCGCTGCTTCCCTCTCTTACCATTCGAGCATGTCCCTCGGGTCGCAAAGATTCAATCGCTGATGAGATTTAGACGCATTGCAGTGTTTAAATGACATCGGGGTTGACGGCGGCCCTCGTTCCCGGCGATCGGGATGGCGTTGCTAATTTTCCTTGTCGCGTGATAAACTTTACGGAACACTCGATAACGTCACGTATATCTTCCATCTGATATATATTTAATTTCTCATGAGTACTGTGTTCTATATACTGTCACCTGTTATATCTGTACAGGTATATACATTTTTCTGTACGTCACGCAGAATTTAGTTTCTCGTTTATCCAACGAGTGACTTTCCAGTTAACATACGTGTCTTTAATTTACAATGTTCAACGGTCTCACACGGTGAAGAGTTTCTCTGCCCCTTAATGTCAGGCATCGTTCAACCGTTCCCGTATCGAATCACTGACAACCCCTTGCGTTTCGTGACTTTGACGTCACCGACTGCAGATGAAGCCGCGCCATATTATTTACCATCGATGCATTGTGCGTTCACGCGATACGCCTTCGAACGACTGCCTCCTGACAGCGATGCTCGATTACCGCGCGCGGTAACGATTTAGGCATTTCGCGACACTGTCATTTAGAACCGAACGAAAATTCGTCCGACGCTCGCCACCCCTGATGACGATGGTCAACAACCCCTTCGACGTTAACATCGATTTAATCACAATATCTTGTCTTGTCTTTTCGACGTGTGCTCGCGAAAATTATCCACACGCACACGTAACGATCACCCGTGTCCGAAGGGATGTTCGCACTATTCCCACGTTAGGTCCATCTACGCGGCGCCCCGATTCGCGATTACAATTATGGATTCCGAGGTACTTAAATGCTCCGCCGATACTTTTAACCTAAATCCTTTTTATTTTCGTTCGGATACACGTATGCCTCTGTTTCTTCGTTGAAATAGAAGGGAATGTTGATCACGATGATTATGTGGCACCTTTGTCGCAGGTTTGTTAATATGTGGGTTACCATGGGGTTTACCAGGCCAGTGTGTCAAATGTGCGGACTACCCTCGAAATTCTGTACAGTTTGTAGGGCGCAGCAATCTTCCCACAGCCCCTCGAGACACTGGCCAACGATTCGTCGATGGCCTCCTCGGTGGCGCTTCTTTTATTTTTCCCACCCCTCTGCACGGGATGAAAGCGGCCGTCACTATACCATTTCTTTCACCCCTTCCTTGCTCACCCCCTCTTTCACCCCTGCGTCTCTTAGCTAGTCTTAAACCCCACTTTTCGTTAACCTGTTAACCCGGCCTCGAACGCGCATGTGAAGATGCGATTAACTATAAGAAGTCCAAGCCTCCGGAGTAAAGAAGTTATCTATATAAGTCAGTGTTCAGTTCCAACGATTTTTTTATTTTAAATAACGTCTTTGTCATTGTCACTGTCGGAAATATAAGCGGCGATAAATGATTTTTTTAAATGCTCGGGTGGCTGAGATGATACGACACCAGAAATACGTCGGGTTAACTGCATACTGTTGGGTTTGCAAGTTGTGTTTAATCATAATGTAGATAGCGCTATCGTTTACGTCATTTCTATTTGAAAAACGATAACTCGATCTTATCGGCATGAATTATATCCTAGCGTTTATAAATGTTTAATAATAAGTGAAAGGTATTGAGATGGTGAAATTTACTTGAGATATCCATTACTATGCTTGAGAAGTATGTGCATACTTGTATTTTATATTGCTATATACAAAAAAGGAAATTTCATTTTTCTGGTAAAATTCCTAAAATCCAGTCTCTGAAGGACTTTACTTCAGATTCAACTAATTCATGGTCAGCACCATTCAGTTCGATAAACCGGCCACTCACACCAAGTTCTTTTAAGTTGGCATAGGTTTCTTCTCCCCACTTTAGTGGTACCAATTCATCTTCTGTACCATGGTATTGAAGGAAAGGTGGTGTTCTCCCTGAATTTGCTCTTAGAGACTGAAAAAGTGATTGTATTATTATCACCAGGAAAAGAAATATTAAAAAGCTTTCTTTAGTTGCACGTATACCTCGTATACTACTGAATTTTTATTAAGGAAGCTAGACATAGCAGTACATCCAGCTAAAGACCTTTTGTATCTATATGCCAAATGCATTGACAACACTCCACCCATTGAAAAACCAGCGACAGCAATGTTTTCATATGGAATTCCTTTAAAGACCTCTGCATCTATCAATTCCATTACATTTTCGCACATTGAATTTATGGATTGTACTTCCTCAGCTACTTCGATGCTTATACTCTTCCGGTTGAACCATACATTGGTGGACTAAAATAATAATTATTTTACACAAAACTATTAGTTCTTGTTTCACAGATTGAATTACATATTCCACAGTTAAATCACCATTCCATAATTAGGTGTATATGGCTGTGCTGGCGCGGTAGGATAAACAATTTTTATGTGTGGAAACTTCAACTCTTCCCTGAGCATTATATCAACCCATTTTTTCAGACTATCCCCACAACCTCCTACAATGGAGTTGCACAAAGAACAATTAAAAATAGGATCCTCATACCTAAGTAATGTCACCTTACCTGAACCATGAAAGAAAAATAAGGTAGCACTGTGCGCTTTTGTAGCGTTCACAATATTCAACTTCCGTATCTTAGTACTTCCAGACATATTTCCTCATCTATTGTTACATAAAAGCCCATGGAAAGAGCAAGTTAATCGACGAATTATCGCTCCGTCTATCATCATGATCCGGTGTTTGGATTCGCGTGAAGCATTATGTCCAACGTTCCGATATCATAGTTCCCAACTGAACGTAGTCAAATATTCCTATGTCTTCAAGGTAGTCCGCATTGCGTAATATCATTTTTCCTCAAAATAATGTTACAAAATAGTAATGTTGTCACAATAAACAATATAGAAAATTAAGAGAAAAAGCAGGCAATATGTCGTCGCAAGTGTCAACGGAATTCCCGTTGAACTTCGACTTAAACGGTGACGTAAAACTGTCGCGTTCAAATTTCAAACGGAACCTTGGTGCGCGGCTAAATTTACTTCGTTTATTTGATATGAAAATATCATTAAACGAAACACGTCAGTTTCTGTCGTAACATTTGAACGACGAGCAGCTCGCGGTTAAATTTAATCGTGAATTTGAACCGTTCCGCGGTAGATTAGTGGAGGTCCAGTTGTTTATGGGAAGTCGTTGCTCCGCGAGACCGTCGGCGAGCCGTTGACACAACAGCGTTCCTGCGCACGCATGTCTCGATTTCTGCTCGAGCCTCTTCGAGATCGTTTGAAAACGCTTGCCAGACGGACTAGCCGTCGCTGTGTTGTAGCACGAGTGCACACGGTTGCGTTGACAAGGATACTGGTGTCGCGTCAATGGATACGTCGGTGGTGTCTCGCTGATCCCCGTCTCTCACGTTGCCCGGTCGACAGAGTTATGTTTAATGAGTCGCCGTAACGATTCAACGAAACGATGCAGAGAAGTGGTGAGTAACGAGAAATCTCGTTCGATTCCGTGATAATCGTGGAAACTCGACGGGCGGCGAACGACGACCATTTTGAAGGCGCCAAATTTTTGTGTCAATACACAGCGCCGTGGACTGCTGCCCGGTCAATACGACAGCCAACCTAACCTACCAACTTAATCTACGAAACGGTCTACGTACTTTTAATTCAACCATTTACGATCGTGTCACATTTCCATTGTTTCACGACCAGTTTCCATGATCTCTGATTCAAATATCACCCTCAAGCTCCGTCGTCTCGCGTCGTTCGATGATCATTGGTTTTTTTTCTTTCTTTCGTGTATCATGCGCATCGTGTTATTTTCTTTCTACCTTGGCTCGGTGACCAGATGAATTTCACAGGAATATTGTATGACAGTTGTGCCACCGTGACTGGTTAATGATACGCGAAACATCGCTACGCAATAAGAAATATTTTTTCCCCGTTGCCATGGACTTTAGTTGAGGGTATTACGACATCGATTGCATCCTGCAGCGGGCGAACACCTTAAGCTGGGCTGGGCAATTTGAACTTGACGTTTGCAAGGACCCTCATCTCTGACATTTTTTTCATTGGGAGGGTTGGATAGTTCATCGTAATTTTAACCCTCGTGAACTGTGCCCTGTTATTCAAAGTTATGCTTCCTACCACTTATCGCCGACACTTATTTGGCCGTGCGCGAGTAGTCTAAATAGCCTGGCGTAGATTACCAGGCCGACTCAGGCGGAAGGGAAACCAAAACAAACGGCTTCGGAGCAAGGATCTCTATCGCCTTCCTGTTTATCTCGAGTGGATTCTTGTAGTCTCGACCCGCGCGACCGTAGTGGCATGGGATCCGAATGCGTTTTGAGAATGCATCACTATGGTCAGTGAATTTTCCATTTTTAAATAATTGTACATATAATTTGAAAAATATTATCGATGGGCGTAACGATACGAACGATATTTTAACACGTTGAGTGACGCGCGATTTTATCAAGGAAAATATAGAAAATGAAAATAACGTAATATCAATTCAATTGAATTACGTTATTATTATTGCAGGTTTATCTCGTTTAATGTCACTGCATTAGGTGGTATTATTTATAATATAGTTATTTAATTTTTTTGTTGAGGTCACCGGTGACCCCCATAGCATCCAACATGTTAAGTAAATCATATTTTCCTGGATACACGAAAAACGCGATCGGTAATGTCACCCACGACATTTTCGCTTTTGCGTTTCGCTAGCCTAGAGCTAGGTTAGAACCGGGCTGGTTTCCTTCGACGCGTGAAACATTAAACTATTATTCTACGTGGACCGGTGAAATAGGATCTGTCTCCTGCGCGCCTTGTTTAGAAGTAACGCAATAAGCGACGGCGTGCATGACGTCTCGTTACAACTGTATTTTCGCTTTCTTCTAGAGAAAGAGGCGCGCCCGTTCGTTTCGCAACGGAAGAAAGCTGCGCGTGTGATTTTTACGGGCGCAGATCGCTTTTCCGTTTCGCGATGTGAAGAAGCCAGGGGGGACGAAGACGACGGCTGGCCGACGTCGTTTGTCCGCGGCGCATTCCGGGCATAGTTTATTGTACACTCATTTATCTGACCTCGAAGCTGGAGTTGAATGAATAGCAATCTGTATTTTAACCAGTTAGCTGTGTCGCCCTCTTTTAAAAGCGCGTGGCTAAATTGCCTATTGTGTACAAAGTTACTTTATAATGGTCATATTTATTTATATAATACAATATACATAATGATTCATCCGTTTGCACTCCGAATATTTTCGTTCGTTTCTATAGCGAAACGTTGAAGAAAATTTCGTTTTGGAAAAGGGAAATTACAGGTATATATGGATTCACGTGTTTTAATTTGTTCTGTCAATTTGCTGTATTCGACAAGAAAGAAGAATTTTAGAATTTGAAATTAATGTAACATAATATCTTTGATGCAAATTATGTCCCCATGGCAGAGCCAACGGAGTGCAAAGGGTTATATAATTTATATAATATAAATAATATAAGTATACAGTTTCTTTTTGTTCATTCTATTTCGTCTCTGTCCGTAAGCATTATAAATTCTCGAAACTTACGAATGTATTTTAGCTTTCATGGAAATGTTCATTTTAACAGCAAATGGTAATTACTTTCAACGGATGACGAATATACTCGTCGTAACGTAAAAAATTGTTATCTCTTCGTGACGAGTACACTTGTACACTTCTAACTGGTTAAGATTATCTCGGCGGTCTCGTCGCGTATTCCAGTTACATCGCGTCGGTTATCTGTCACACGCTGATAACCGATTGATGTGGGCCGTTGAAATGCCGATCACGAAATTCGTATTTACGTTTCGCGCGTCGTTACGTTCACGATCGCGGTTGCAACTCCGATGCGAATGCAGTCGGAGCTGAAATTCCGAGTGTGACCGCAACCGCAACGGTGACCGCGATTTCCAAGCGCAGTTGCAACTGCGATCGCGATCGCAATTCCGACGGGCAACTCCGACGCGATTACCATCAAGATCCACGGGGCAATTCCAACCTGCAGCCACGATTTCGACGCGATTCCCAAGGGCAGCTGAAACCTCGATCGCGGTCGCGATTCCAACGTGCAGCTGTGCCGCGATTACCATCTAGATCCTCGGAGCAATTCCAACGAACTGCTGCGATTATCATCGCGATCAGTGTACAAACTTCTAATAAATGTTCTCGTGATCGCGATCACAAGATAGGATAGCCATCGCAATTCCAAACTAAACCGCGATCTTCAGCGCGATTCTAACTGCAGACGCGCCGCGGTAGAAAAATCTCGAATAGCTCTCTGCCAGCGCGGCGACAAAGTGGAGTTGCGATCGTGATTCCATGCGCAGCTGCAATTGTAATTCCAGCTGCAATTGCGCGGTCGCAATTTCAGGCTCGCGCGCGATGGTATCCGAGCATTGAAATCTTCGCGAATCCCGGCGACTGAACGCTGGAACTACCGAGAGCAATTACAGCTGCTTACGATTCCCCTTAAAAATGAAGATTCCGTTTTCTATGCGACCTGTAGCGGCTCTTATCGTTGTGCTCATTCAAATGTATGACTTTAT